CTGCTGCAACCCACTCTCTCAGAAGCTTATCCTGCTTCTAATGGATGCAGCCCGGCTGAGTATGCCGCGCTGCGCTGGCCTCGTACCTATGCTCCCAGGGTCGCTTCGGCGGTCATGCTTCATCTCTCTTCTTAATCTTCTGATTCTATCAGATGCAGCCGGCCGAGTAGCTGCGCTGAGCCGTCAATCGGACTCCCAATCAAAGGCATCCATACCTGTATTCTTCACTCTCCTGATCGCAGGCTCCCCCATCGTGCTGCCCATCCTGCAGCGGCTCTGAGCGGCACTGAACTCCGGCTCGTCTTCCAAGTACATGTCTGCCCTCCTCGCAGCATCTTCCTGCTCTCCTTCTATGGCTTCTCTGCATAAGCGTTCACTACTGCTCGCTCAACCTTCATGCGGTCCGAGACGCGGCTTCCCGACCATCCTACTATCCTGATTATCTACTCTCCAAACCAAGATTCTAAGCGTAAGGGCGCCTGCAACATCAATGGCCCTCTCCGATATGTCTCGGCCCTACAGGTCTCCGCTTCTACACGGACGCTGCCCCTTCCGTGGGTTTTGGGGGGTTCTTCCAGGACCATTGGGTTGCTGGGCCGTGGCCGCTACTTCCACCGGAGCATCTTCTCTGCCAAAAGATAATGTCCCCTGACCCTTTCAACCTTCATCTCAACATTCAAAGACCAAGGCGCCTGCAACATAATGATAGCTCGCTCCGACACATCTCTCTGCCCCTACAGGTCCATGATGCGTTACACTCGCCTCCGCTGCAAAAAGGAGAGTTTAACGGACCTCTATTTCTCACTCCAGACATTCTTCCCATGACAGCAACCTGGTTCAGAGCTCAGCTAAGATCCCTACTGCTCCTCTGCAATCTGTCTCCCCAGCTCTACACAGCCCACTCCTTCAGGATAGGCGCTGCCACGCGTGCGGCCTCGCTGGGGCTCCCCCACACCTCTCCAACAGCTGGGGTGCTGGTCCTCTTCGGCTTTCTCCGCCTACATCAGGCCAGACGCGTCCGCTATCCTGGCTGCACAACGTCTACTGGCTTCCTTGTAAGCTCCCAGCAAAGCAATACGAAGCAAAGTAAGTGAAGCAATAAGATTCTGGTGGCGGCACGCACTTCTCAAACACTCGCCGCTGCCGCAGCGTCTGACGGAACGTGATGCGAACGCTCACGTTCCCAGAGCGCAAAGATAACCCATGATGCATTACACTCGCCTCCGCTCTCGGAAAGGAGATCTCAACGGACCGTTATTTCTCACCCCCGATCACCTCCCAATGTCATCCAACGGGTTCAGAGCCCAACTAAAGTCCGTACTGCTGCTTTGTAACCTGTCTCCCCATCTCTACACAGCTCACTCCTTCCGGATAGGCGCCGCCAGCAGCCGAGTATCCGCAAGTATTGATCACAGTAGATAGCGGTCACAGCATATAGCGATAGCGGTCACAGCATATAGCGATAGCGGTCACAGGGGGTCGGCCCGATGTTCCCCGGGTCCGATGTTCCCCGGGTCCGGTGTTCCCCGGGTCCGGTGTTCCCCGGGTCCGGAGTTCCCCGGGGCGGGGAACACCGGACCCGGGGAACATCGGACCTTCCATACGCCGGAGGGCCCGGTGTTCCCCGACTGCGGGCCTCGCTCATAGACATGTTATTGCTGCGCGCGGATAATGGCACAACAAGCGGCTTTCGCTCATAACTAGTCTATAGGGCTACTGAATACTTTATATTATAAGCCTAGTAGATCTCGCATTGTAGTAGCCAACTACATTTTTACAACCTACCACCTCAGAATAAGAACGTGTTGCAGATAAGAAAAGTAAAATTAGCTCCACCACCTTTTCTTTTTGGAAACATATCTCCCTCAGTTCATCCTCGCAACAGTATCGGCGCCAGGTTTGCAATTTTGGGTAGGCCTGCAGATTAGTAAGTAGGCCAAATTCGCTTGCAAACTACAAGGGCTAACTGGAATTGGGGTTTCAAAGAATATGGTTCAAACGCACACACGCACGCACACGCACTCACGCGCGCACATACACACAAGCTCATTTATGAAACTTGCGTTGAAAAAGGTGTACATTTTGGGTGTATATTCCATTTACGCAATTTGCCAAAATGTTTTGATACATTAGAAAAATCCTTATTGAATTGTAGAAGTGAATAAATATAGATTGATTGAATGAATTAATTAATTCATATATATTATGCAGCGGTGGCTCTGAATGAAGCGTCTGCAGCGTCTTGGACGCAGCCTGGCTCGGGGTAGAAGTGCGCATTGAAGCACTGTACACTTCAGAGAGCGTTTGCGGTCCAGATTTCACAAAGAAACTCTGGAGCCAAAACTTCTGCACATGTGGCGCGACCTCTCACGGCACTCGCTGCGCACTATGGACAGGGCAGTGAGACGTTTGAGTGAGCATCGATGCGTTATTGGGGTGTGTGTCTGTGTGAGGGTTACACAAATCTAATGAAATAACACATTGCTTTACCAGATGTGAATGAGGAATACAAATAGCCGTGCGTAATTACGCAGCGCAGAGCCTGCCACAGCAATAGATGGGTCACACATCCCTGTTGCGTAAAGTGTATTTATATAGAGCCTTTGACTGTCCAGGATCACAAAGCGCTTCACATTTTAAAAACATACAGATCAAAATAATACACACACAAGTCAGATTTAATAGAGGGTCCTCATCATGAGCTGTGATTTATTCGAAGTTTGCGTGTTTCCATTAGACTTTTTCTGATGCGCAAATTCAAATTTTGAAACATGATCCTCAATGAAAACACAGCTTATAATTTTGCCAGAGGGAATATGTTTATTGTTGTACATATCTTGAATTTCATGCGTGTTGTGCCGAAGGTTGAGTTCAGCGTATAGATTTACACCACCTCCAGACCTGGCGTTTATTTTTTGCGTATTGTACGCTCACGTCCAGATAGATAAATGCGGAAAAGTGTAATATTTTGCGTACGCCTCATTTATCCTGATTTGGCCGTACGCAGGTTTCATACATGAGGCCCACAGTGAGGCCTACAGTGAGGCCCACAGTGTGTCTCACACAGGCCTAGAGTTTACCTCATCAGTGCAAGGCGAGCCAGGCCTGACCGCGCTCTCCTCCTCTGGGACCTACGGGCCCGGGCCTCTGGCTCCTCTACCTCACAAAGTTCACGCTGAACTTTCTTAAAATTAAAATGAAAAAGGCTGTTCTGTTGTGAATGCTTTGAGAGCGTTGTCAATCTTTAAGACGAGGAATAGCTGGTTGTTCTCGCTTCACGCTGTGTGATATGATATTGGACAAAATTGTTCAGCCAATAAACAGGACTATATTTGAAGCAACTAGGAACGTGATGACGCTCAGGGGGTTATATTATTATTATAATTATTATTATTATTCCCCCCACTGTAGGAGCCAATACACTTTTCAATATTTTTGAATTCTGAGCGTTTCCAATTGTATTTAAAAATGGGAAACCTAATTAAACAATCATGAATTGAGCTTTTCCGATCTTATTTTACACTGATTCCTTTGATCATTTTTTTCTTAAAGTTCAAGTTGTAAAAATGCTATGTTTGAATTGGTTATTTACATTTTAACTGTGAGTGACACGTAAGGCGGGACAACAATGCACAATGACGCACGCGTTCTGAATAGAATAATATGTATTAATATCTCTAAAACTATAAGAGCATATTCTAGTTTTACAACAAAAACGACGTCATATGCGTGTCCATTATGCGTAAAAGCACAGTGCCCTCAGCAAAACCACGTATTTGGAAAAACTATAGGCTAACAGATGTAGTAGCTCTAGTTTCAATCGTCCTCATTTTATTCAGTCAGACTTGTCAAATATAGATGCCCATAGGAGAGTGAGCAAGGGGAGATAACATGCCCATAACATGCCCAAAAATATCCTGCATAGACTCAAGCTGCGATCAGCTGAAATATGAGCACACAAAGAGCGAGAGGGAAAAAGAAAAGTAAATAGGCTTAGGCTAGTTAGTATTTTTTCTCTCACAAAAGTTGGCACGGATCATATGCCATCTTTTGTGGAGGAGGAAACATCAAACATCAAAGGGCGCACGCGGGGAACAGCGGGACTAGTCTTGTTGTTGAAGTCCCGATGTTCCCCCACTTCTATAGGCGGGGGAACATCGGACCCGGGGAACATCGGGACTTTTTAATACGCGAAGTACCGATGTTCCCCGGGTCCGATGTTCCCCCGCCTATAGAAGTGGGGGAACATCGGACCCGGGGAACATCGGTACGCACCCATGCTGTGACCGCTAATAGCGATAGCGGTCATAGCATATAGCGATAGCGGTCACAGCATATAGCGATAGCGGTCACAGCATATAGCGATCGCGGTCACAGCATATAGCGATAGCGGTCACAGAATATAGCGATAGCGGTCACAGAATAGAGTAGTCACGACGTCTGTCCCCTCCAAACCAGGCTTCGAAAACTCCATCAACACGCAGCCTTTTTGGGGATTGTGCGCGCTCCATCGCAGGAGCCTTTCCGATCTGAAGGCCGCACCGGGACCTAGGGCGCCAAACCTCCTTTCATAAAATACTCAAAAACTTCCTGTTTTCTCGTCTCTCCAAATTGAAATGACATGACAAATTAAGATGAGTTTTAGTGTTGACTTTCTTCACTTTTCATCACTTTCTACAGCAATATCACAAAAATAATTAAATAAACAAATACATTGATAAAGGGCTAACATACATATATTTTCTAAGACAAAATGCAGTTAGTAACCCAAGATCCACTGCTCCTGTCCGAGGCCTTATATAGTGGCATTGAGGGATGGGTCAAATGCATATTTTAGTCTATTTGGATGTACTACTGTTTAGGATTAATTTGAGCAAGCTTCCTCAAAAAAAAAAGACTGGTGTGAGATACTGTAAATACTGTAAAATATAGGCTGAATGGATGGACATATACATCAAATATACTAATTATTTATAGTCCACCACTGTGAAACAGCACCCATGTGTTTGGAACTCTCGCTTGGCTCAAGGACACAAAGTAATGAAGATAAACACTTTTCCGCAGAGACAAGAGGTATTCATTTGAGACAAGATTGTAGTCTGACAAAAACCATCCAGCAACCTGACTTCATGAAAGAGTTGGTATATTTATGGAGATTGCAGTATTTTTTTCTTTCATTGTTTCAGAAGACTTCAGCATGGATCCCTAAATGAGCTTTCATTTACACAGAAACAGAGGAGTCTCGTTGCAGATGCACCTGTCAATCCACAGTGTCTTGCTTCGTTAATTCCTCTCTTCCGTAAGCACGACTCTCATTTCATTGACCATGTCTGTTTAAATAAGCTGTCAATCCCCCCAGCCAGCCCCTGAGCAGCAATTACTCCAACATTCAGTTTCACATCAACATACAAGATTAGTGGAAATGTAAAAATACTGAACGAGCTCTGAGTGTACTTTGGCGCGAACATCACAAACTGTCAGCAAGATAAAGGGGAAATGCAATTATAGCAAATTGAATGGGCGTGAATTACACTTGTCTTTATTAGCTTGCTATCTAGATACTTGATTTTTGTTGAGGACCATAAAAAGCTCTCAAGGGACATTACCAGCCTAATGACTACATGGAGTTATTCAGATTGGACTTCTTTCTCAAGCATTTCCCATTAATGTTGTGTCAAAAAGTTTACATAAGCTCATGTATCTACTGTACAACAATATTTAACCAGGCTTGATAGTAAGCGCAAGTTTATTATTGACCTCTACTTACCCAGGAAAGTTTCAATGAGACTTTTTCAGGGAAGTCCTGGACCCAGAGAGAGGGAGTGGGAGTGGAGGGTTTTATTGATGGCAGGGGAAAACTGAGCACCTGGAGGAAACCTACGCCGACACATGGAGAACATGCAAACTCCACAAAGAAATGTCTGGAGTTGGAATGGAACCAAGGTCCTTCTTACTCTGAAGCACTGGCGCCAACCGCAGCACCACCTTCATGAGTGGACGAGACACAAAATGAGCTTGTGTAAGCTCTGGTCGTACAGGGATTAGTCAAAGCAAAGTAAGGTTTCTCACCCGTCACCCTGTTAACTGAAGTACGGGTGATGGGTGTGAAACCTGTTACGCTCAGTTACTTTCAAAACCACAAACGGTGTGGTTCTATCACTAGCTCATATACATGGAATTTTTGGCCTGTGACGCAACTTTGAATTAACTTTTTTGGACAGAAAAATAACAGAGCCATTCAGCTCTCACATGAAGAGTGTTAGACAAATGTTTTGTAATATGATGATGACAGCATGCTGTTGCCTGATTTGTTTAATTCACATTTTACTTTTTCAAGACTCTTTCTGTTGGAAGAAAAACATGTATTAGATAGGAAATAAATTGGGTAACCCATCTATAAATGGTCGAGACGTAAGCCTAGGGGTTATAGGACTATTAAAACAATCTTTGCTGACTGAATGTAACGCTACAGACAGAAAAACACCTTTTTCTGTATCTATAGTTTATTTCTAACCATGTTCATGAAACTTTCTCAATCCTGGACTGGTTCAGAGCAATCTCAGTTTGGAGCAAGTGCTAGTTACCATAGCAACATAATGTCAGGGGCGACAGTAGCGCAGTTGGTAGAGCACTGGTCTTTGGACCTAATGGTCGTGGGTTCGATCCCACCACGACCCATGTCAACTGCTCCCACTGATGTCTGCTGTCGTTGTGTCCCTGGGCAAGACACTTAACCCCAATGTGCCTGAAGTCCCCGCTGAAAGACCAAGGCTGCATCTGTGTCGAAGGAGCAGCCATCTTCCCGTGGACCCACCACCTGCAGGAAGATCAGCAAGGGACTGGTGCTGTGTGAATTGGGTGGCAGTTCTGATTGCCACCCCCCTGACCCAGAAATGGAAAATAAAGGGATGTAAATGAAATTAAATGAAAACATAATGTCAATTGTAGGAGTTAGCATTTATATGAATTAGCATTTCATGTATATTAACCAGTTTTGTCATGTATATGAGATTTAAAAAAAAAAAAATCTGTATACCTTCCGTGATTTTCATAAAAGTAGTGAAAAACAATTATTATTATTTATTTGGAACTTTTCAGAATGGGACCTAAAAAAATCTAGTTCTAGTAGTGTCAGAATTCTGGAAGTCCTCGTGTTAAACAATTTCAACCTCTCAGTTCTTAACGTGGACAGTAGATGGCGCCACAATGAAATGAGACTATCAGTTTGATCTATGGACTGATTCAATGTCTATCAAACCGGACAATGTTTTAGATATTTTAGACGGAAAAGCCTAGCAAGAACTAAAGGGCGTCATTGCTGAGTGTGTACGTACATTTAGAACTATACACGGATCTATAGAAGTTTAGGATAACATTTTGGGCCCTAAACCTAATCAGAGAGTAAAAATACAAATCACATGCATCACGAAGCTAACTGAGGAACTGGAGATTGTGAATGTGTATCCAGAGTCATTATTAGCCTGTGGATTTATATTTGTGACTGTGCTGATCTACTTGGCGCACAAACGCTCCTCCAGGGCCGGTCCATATAAGCGCCGCCCCTCCTGCTGTGAGCGGCTCAGCGCCTCCAGGACGGCGGGGTAAAGTCATGAAGAGTCTGCGTTAGCTCCCCACACCCGGGGGACAAGCGTGGTGACCTGGTGGTCTGCGAGACTGGAGGCTCTGCGGTGGGGGACAGGTAGGATCTGGATAATCTCTGGTCTACAAGTGTGTCACGTGTTGCTGTCTCTGTCCATTCTATAGGTTGTGGTTCAAGATGATCCAATGTAGAGTATTGCTTGTGTGGAACAGTATATTGGCTTTTCAGGGACCCTCCATCGTTGTTATTGTACCACTAATCCTCACTCAAACCATAATGCAAACAAAACAAAATGCAAGCCACAAAAATAATGACTATATTTCATAGGCCTTTGAGAATAACAGAAAAAGTATACATTTCTCCATACATTGGAATTCATTTTGAGTTGAGCGTTACAGGAACAAACTGGTATTACAAGACTGTCATTGCACTTTTTACTAAAGTTGAAATAATAGATTATGAGTCTTGAAGGAGACTATTTGGACAGGCAGTTACTTATTGTGTTAACCATTAAAGCTGGAGTACCTAACTTGGAAACCGCAGAACATTAACTACCCCCTCACTCTCAGAACTGTTTGGTTCTATTACTAGTTTTTAAATGACAGATGTGAATTATTTTGGTCTTATGTCGCGTCAATAAATCAGCTTTGTCAGTTAAAATAAAGTACCAGTATACTGACATGAATTTTCCACTGTCGGCAGCACATTGTGGTCCGATTTGTTCACAACATTTTAAGATAAGATAAGCTATTATTGTCCCCAGATGGAGACATTTGTCTTGAGCATCAAAGGTACAAGAAAAACTCCCACCTTTACGAATACAGGACAGCACATAGTCACACGTACATACACAGTCTTTACACAGAGCTTTAGAGAGTGGAAAGATTATAAACGCTTTTTTTTGCATTTGTTTGATTTTCCATATAATACTTTGTGATGAGAAAGATTTTGCATTGTAAATAAAGGCTGCCGAGTTTCCTTTTCCATGGGTTTCAGCTGGTGATGCCACGGCTCAAGAAGATTGTAGAACACAGTGTATATTACATCTCCAAAATGGACCATAAATAAGTGCACTCCTCCTACGGCCTTGTCTAAAAGTACTATTACATTTCCCCATCTAACCCAGAGGACAGATTATATTGCACTGTTAGATAGTGGTCATGTGGTTTTAATGCACTTCGTATTACAACTTATTTTGATTCATAATTGAAATGGATTTCGGAATATATGAGAATTTGTTACTAGATCTGTGGGTACAAAGACAATGTATGCTCATGAAACAAAAACAGTGACGTACTCCAGCTTAAAGTTCGAAATGTCCTTATTCTACTGCTAAGGCTAAATAAGGATTGTTTAGTAGAGCACTCAAATCAAGATGTTTCTTTGTTGCTGTTGATGTTGTATTCAGATGATGATGACGACTCTGCTGCTACTGCTCCTTATTGTCCTCCACCACACCCCTGTTTTTCTGCTGGAGTTTCGCTATCATAACAACCGGCAGATTGAAGAATACCTCTCTCAAGTCAACTCTGACAACCCCGACATCACTCACCTGTACAGCATTGGCAAGTCGGTCAGAGGTATTACCCATCTATGCTTTTTTATGAATACTGGTTACTGTTTTCTGGTTTCTATGAGAGGACTGGTGTTGCATTTGAAATTAGAATATTGTATCTTTCGAATGGGAAACAGGTCCTCATAAAACAGGAAGTTGGAAGTTGGGCTGTGCCAAAAAACGCAAGATTGAAAAATTGCAATTTCATTCGAGAGGCAAGAATGATGCACTCTTTGTCTTAAACTTACTGTTTTGGAGAGAGCGAAAACATAATTAAAAATGAAATGTGATCTCCCCCTGCCTGTGCACACAGAATCAAGATCAATCCATTTGAGAAAAATAATTGTCATGTTATCAAATCATCATGATGACAAAAACAATTGTGATAATTTTTTTCCCCAGATCGCCCAGCACTAGTCAGAAACCATGAGCACTTTCAATATTTCAGGCAAATATTTCTTTCTTAGATTCTGTGAGGAGCATAACCCATTCAAAAGACGTAACAATTATTTTTGATTTGCATAATTGTTTGTGCGACAATTTGTAATCCATGTACAATAAACAACTTTTGAGAGCATTTGACGATGTAGTTATGTGTTGAATTGCTTTTTACTGACTTTTTTTTTATCACAGTAAGACACAGTGGATATAATTGAGTTGACTGTTTATTTAGTTTAAGTTTAATTCTTTTAATTGAATTTAAAAATTCAGTATTTTATGATGATTTCTATATCGGATCTGATGCAGGAGGTTATACTCACAGGCATAGACCATCTCATGTTTGGCGGTAGTGTCAGGTGCCTGTCACCATAGTAACACTGACACTGATGCGGACTAGACTAGACAAGGGTTAATTTAACCTGTAAAAACCTAATCCTTATACATACAGGCACATACTGCTAATCAGGGCTAATCTCCGGTACCAGCTGGCTTCTGTCCAAATCATGTATCTCACTGCATTTTGGGTCATCTTCTAAAGTGCGAGAATGACCTCATGTTACAACACCCTGTTCCCACCTCCCGCGGTTTGTGTGCGTGCGCAGACATGTAGTGTCATATATGTGCAAACAATATGTTCTTTGTGTAATAGCAGGTTTACATTTGCGTCGTCATGATACTACATTTCAAAACTCGATTTCAATACGTGAGAAAAAAACTCAATCCCAATATTGATGCTCTTTGTGGACAATAAACTGTATAATAATACTTCTAATGGATCCACATGTTATTACCACCGCGAGACCTTCTCCACAGACTCCACTGTCTGCTGTCGTTGTGTCCTTGGGCAAGACACTTAATCCACTTTGCCTATAAGGAGCGCGGAAGTAATGTTTGCTGCCTGCCTTGATGTGTATATGTGTATTCATCAAACTGAAATATCCCCACTGTGGGACGAATAAAGAACCTTCTTCTTCTGTTTTATTTTGACATAGTTTAAGAATTTACTCAGGAAATGTCCAATGCTTCCTGTATTTAGTATAGATACTTGTTTCAATAGTAGTTTTAGTATTGATTTTATAGTGAGTTATTTTTACATTGAGTTATTGAAAACGTGAAAAATGCTGTATAGAAATAATAATAAAATGAAAAATGCTGCCTGTGCAATATATAGAGGCAATATTTTGTTGTTGCAATAATTCAATGTGAAATATTAATTTTGCAAAGATGTACAATCATCTTGTGTATAAATCATGTGTGTATTTTTTTGCAAGAACATGAATCATTTTGGGGCGGAGAACATTGCAATAAACAGTCATGCTTGAAGGTTTATACCCCCTGGCAGAAATGTCTTGTTTTGACCATAATTTGGAGATGATGATAACACAGCAACCTTTTTCCAAATCATGGTGGTTAATTGTTGCTATACATTCTCTCATAAATATGTTTTAAATGTTCAAATAATGACATAATTGAGCCGATCTGTGCCCTCCATATGTGCAGTTTATAAACATTTACATTTACAGGAACTGGAAGCTCATTTCCAAAAATAATGGGTAACTTTACTATCTGAGGAGAAAGATGAATTACTTAATTTTTGTCCACATAGAGGCCACTCTTGAATATAAATAGTAAGTTTTCATATTGTAATGTAACACTTATAAATAACGGCTACTTACATAATTACTCAACCAACAGCTGATGGAGCAAAACAAAAACGACAGACTGTTTTAATTGGACACAGCATGATTTAATGATTAGATGTTTTCATGCTCTGTTGACACGTGATGAGCACTATTATAATCCAACTGTTTTTTGACAATAAACGTGCTTACTATCCTTGATAAAACTTGATGAAGTGATAAAGTAACAAGATTTTTTTCAAAAAGTTTTCAAAAAACCCAGGGGAAGCTCCAAAGAAATTCAAGTTTCTGTTGGCGCTATAATTTAAGAATAGAAAACACATTTCTTTGACAATAAATGGCTTCACAGAACCACTAACAATTAGTTAAAAATAATAATAATAGCAAGAATTTTCTCAGGGGGGTAAACTTTCAAGCACATATTGATTGCTACCACAGTCCTAGACACTACAACACTGCAAAAAGTGACAACAAAAAAAGGCAAACATTGCTCAAAATTTTAAAAATGTATCTTAATTTGAGCACAATTAAATTAATTTGCTTTAAAACAAGATTTGTCGATGGAACAAGCAAAACTACCCTGGTTTAAAAAGGTACAAGAGATGTCTCTCTTGGAAAGTGAAAGTAAAGCAACAGTTCTTGAATCATTGACAAGTGTTACCTTATAATGTATTCTTTGCCGTGTATAGAATAGTACACTTTTTTCATATTGTGCTGCCCTAATATTCACAACATAACGTACTTTGGTTGTAATGCTCCTCTTTTTCTCTCCTCAGGTCAAGAGTTGTGGGTGTTAGCTTTGGGTGTCAGTCCTGGCCGGCATACTATCGGAATCCCCGAGTTTAAATATGTGGGAAACATGCATGGCAACGAGGTGAGCGAGACACTAACCCACAGACCCCTCCCTGCTCACAGGAAGTGGGGCTAAAAGGAGACCAACAAAAGCCATTCAAACTTCCACTCATGTACTTTTGTGGTTAGATGCAGGCACTGGCGCTTTTGGGGCAAAATGAGGCCTTAAAACACCTTATCGCCTACTTAACCTATTTTTATAATTTAACATTGCGTTTGAAAATTACCTACGAAATAAAATCCAAGTAACAAGTGCCTCGGTCTCAGAACTGTCTGGTTCTGTCAGTAGTTTTCACATGCATGTATTTTTCAGTATGTAAAAGATGTCGAGATAAAGATGGCAAATGGTCGGATTTGCTCACAAGATTTTACAAACAAAGTGTTCGAATTTGATTTTAAATTATTTTATTGTTTTTTCATGAAACCGTGGATCTGTGTAGCTATAATCTGGTGCAGAACATATCTGTCTTTGCTGTTGTCTTAATGTTGCTGTGCACTATCCATTTCAAATAAAGTCAAGTCTAAACTCAAAAACGAACTTCTCTACAAAACAATGAGAAAACAATACAATCCTAATACAAAACAAGCAGAGAGCAGATAAAATCTTTCAATTTCCTTGTTATTTCTTTCTGTCTCTTTTATCAATCAATGAATCTTTATTTGTAGAGCGCCTTTCATACACAGGGCAACACAAACACTGCACAGTCCACATCACACAAGGCACAAAACCCATCAAGGCAAAAATAACAAAACATATTTTTATTCTTATACATCAGTACTTTAGAACTCCATCCATCCATTGTCTTCCCCTTAATCCATTTCTGGGTCGGGGGGTGGCAGTCAGAGCTGCACCCAGTACACTTAGCACCAGCCCCTCACTGATCCTCCTGCAGGTGGTGAGTCCACAGGAGCTGAGATCTTTCAGCAGGGGCTTCAGGCAAAGTGGAGTTAAGTGTCTTGCCCAAGGACACAACGACAGCAGTCATCAGTGGGAGTCGTGAAGTAGGTCTTGAGGTGGACTCGAACCCACGACCTTGAGGCTCAAAGGCCAATGCTCTACCAACTGAGCTACTGTCGCCCCTACTTTGGAACTGGTGTTGTTTATTGCATGTGCTAGTTTCCTGCTTCATGCATTATTTTGAGAACCTCCTATTCATAACAATAAATATTTTCTTATTTTGAATCTCTATGGGAAGGGTCAGTCTGAAACCCAGAGATATAAATAGGAAGTAAGTAACTCCCGTTTATTTATAGAGCACCCCTCACAGAGATTGACTCACAAGTTAAAATGTGACAACAACAAAAAACACATGCATAAAATGTAATAAGATACAGTACATTCCAGTGCAAACAGACTGCAGGTCTTTGAAAGGACTCTATGGATCTCAAAAGTGGATTTTGATAAAAGATAAAAACTGATTATGTGGACGGATACTTGTGAATATTCAGATTCAGATTCATTTATTTGCCATTTGCAGTAAAACCACATTGGAATACATTTGCAAAAAGTTCCCAGTGTGCACAAGACAAGTACATAAATAAAACAAGGTTAAAAGTACAGAAAAAAACAACAAACAAAACAGTAAACAAATGTCACTGTGAAATCGATCGACTAAAACGGTTTCAATACAAATGCAAGATCATTAAAGTGCTCTGTTTAAACTGATAACAGCTTGTGGAAAGAAGCTGTTAGCAAATCGAGATGTCCTGCATCTCAGCGAACGATATCTTCTGCCAGAAGGAAGAAGCTGGAACACGGGTTTCCAGGGTGGCCAGAAGAGTAAAATAAAAACAATACATTTCAAAATAAAACTAAACTCCTATGCCTACATTCACATACATTTACAGTGGTTTAATTGTACGCGTTGCATCACTGAAATTCCCTTCTGTGCGACAGCTAAAGGTTCTGTTGTTTTATCAAATACACAAATGTATCGCTGGTGTGTAGATGGTGGACCAGTTCTTTAAGGGGGAATTATTAACCCTTTTATATTATTTATGTGAACAAAAATTATATATATTTTTGCATATTTGACTTGAGTGACACAGTGACTGTAACAGTGGGCAGCATGGTTTATTAACATTTGATCCCGAAGCTACAGTGTTCTGGGATCTGTTGTTTTGTAGGAACTATGGTGAGAGGGTCCTTTAGCAGAGAAAACCCATGCTGACCGCTCTTACAGCCACTGGGTTACTACAAGATCAAATATGCTATGATATCAACTCTTTTTTGCATCAAAGGTTGCTCCTTTTAACACTAATTCTTTGTTAAATAAAGTGAGGCTAGTACAATTTACAGCCACAGCTAGTTGTAACATCTGTATCAAGACAAAGGAAGGTTTCTCACCCATCATCTGTACTTCTTAGCAAGTTTTCCCAACGTTTCGTCCTCAACCTGGGGACTTCTTCAGGGAAGAAGAAGTTCTTTCCCTGAAGAAGTCCCCAGGTTGAGGACGAAACGTTGGGAAAACTTGCTAAGAAGTACAGATGATGGGTGAGAAACCTTCCTTTGCTTTGACTAATCCCTGTACGACTGAGGGCTTACACAAACTTATCTGTATCAAGATTGTAAAAAGCTCAAATAAATAAATAAATAAATAATAACAGCTATAACTGTATGATTGCATTGATGTAATACAAGATACAGTATGTATTTGCCATTTGCAGTGTAACCACATTGGAAGAACTGTGCAATACTACCCCAGTGTGCACCAATAGCTCTTGCCTCAATGCCATGCCTTTTTATTCATTATATTTTTTTTACAGTGAAGTTATTGATAGACGTTAAGAACATTTTCTACTTCAACTAAAGCTAAGAGGAAAGTAAAAGTGCTTTTTCTCATGTTTTAGTAAGTATTTATGACATTGACTATGCCACACATTAGACCAGAAATGAAAGCCTGATTAGTATATTGTTGCCGTGGTGATGGTTCTGGGAGGATGATTCTCTTTATGTGAAAGTCAGTGGAAATGTCCTTATATGGAAATGTCCTCAAATAGACGTGTCATGGCTGGGCACACACAAACACACAGAGTCAGTGGAGTGTGTTGCTCAGGGTAAACGTCCAGAAAAAGGCCTTTCACTCAGCCCCTGTCCCCAACACCCACATAATGTATACACACACCACACACATACACTTCAAAGCTGCATTGTTAAACTGACAACCTTTTAGTTTAGCCCTTTAATGTTCACTCCTTGAAGAAAGCAATGTCAATTTAGATTTTTGTTTTATGTAGGAGCACTAATTCCACAAATATATACCTTTTAACCCCTTGTTTTTTAATTATAGGCCTCTACCAAATGGTTGAAATGCAGTTTAATAGTAAAAGAGCCTAAAACCGAGTGATAGAGAGGCCCCAATGAGGTAGACTTCAGGTCCAAGCTTCAAGTAGATTTAGTAATTCAAAAAGTGATCCACCAAATGGTTGAGGAAACCATTTAAGAGTTCAAAAGTATATAAAAACACAATAATATAGGAGATAGACCGGTTGTAGTGCTAATTTTTACTTGACGAAAGTTATATGCAAAAGCGGCTGTATAAATCATAGTGTCACTTTTTGTGTGTGTTGCTTTTAACACTGAAAATAATGGTTCCCGCACACTGCTGTCCTAGCAAAAAAAAATATATGTATTTGGAAAATGTCTACGTTTCAGTCCTTAGACCTTTATCAGGCAACTTGAAAATAATCACAATAGAATTCACCGCAGTCAGTTTGAATAAAGCATCCCTACAGCACAAAAGTGGATTTAACTATAAGTGACTCCCACCGATGAGTCAGTTGTATCTTTTATGTGATGAAATAAAGCGGATATGGGTGTGCATTATAGACTTCAGCAGGAGAAAGGCTGGCCAGAGGCAAGGCCAGTCCTGACGTGTGTGTGTGTGTGTGTGTGTGTTTGTCGGGTTCTGTGTGTGTGTGTGTGTGCGTGTTCACCTTTCCCACCCTTCTCTCTTTCTCCGCCCCGAGTTTCCCATTCATGCAAGTGTCTTGACTCTCCCTGAACATGTGCAACCACAGAAACCACATGTGCCGATTGTGTTTCCAATCACATAGCGCCACTTCCTCCCACACACGTTTCCTATGGAACGAGTAAACAGACACAAGACTCCATTAAACTGTCGTGTCATGTTTGTTTTACAACCCTCAAGAGGATTTGGATTTGGAAAATAGTTCAGCATATATATAATGGGGCGTGGGAGCTATTATATTTAAGTAACACTCCACAATAGAATAATAGATACATTTTTTTCTAGGTTCTGGGCCGAGTTCTATTGTTACAACTCATCGAGGATTTGGTGAAGAGTTATCGTAGCAATGAAACCTGGGCTATGCAGTTACTAAACAGCACAAGAATCCACATCATGCCAACGATGAATCCGGATGGTTTTGACTCGGCAGACACTCACTGCATGTTCTCTCAGGGCAGGTACGCACACACACACACACACACACACACACACACACACGCTGTAATTGAGAGTGATGGATTGGTATCAAAAAACACAGTATAACGACTACATAATAATACTCCAATCAGTGTGATGATGGATTGTAAGTAAATTACTAAGTTGTACAGATATGTGAGTTTTGCGCCCTCTTGGCTGAGGCTGACAAAAAACAAGATTAGTCTACAGCCTATTTTAACTGTCAGGATCAAAGCTGCACCAAACGTTATATTCAGAGGATGACTAATGAGCGGCATGTGCACACAGGAGAATAACATCTTGTTTTGATGTGTCACTTTCCCCGTTACACTGATACTGACACTGTATCAATGTGATTTGTTTTGTTTTTTCCAGTCATCTTATTTTCAGTGAATGTGGAAAGATTCCCTTTTGTTTTCACTTTCTAATTAATAAAATATTAATATTAATATTTCTAATCTTTATATGTAAATTGGTCTAAATAGACAGACTATAGCAGGTGTTTTCCTTTCTAAGAGTGAGAAGATAGAGATCTCCACAACTAAGTTAATAGCAATTGTGGCCTTGAAATATCCTGCTTACTTGTATTTTTGCACAATCACCACTGTTTGAATAAACGCCCAAAACATGTTGATTATAAGGGAAGCAGACCAAGACACTGTATTTATGTATTGACTCTGAAAGTCACGCAAAGGGCTGTATTTAAAATAAAACTAGCTTTAATCAAATTATCTATGGATGCATACAGTATATAGTATTATGTATGTACAGGGGGGTAGCACCAAATTCTGGGCCCCGGGTACAAACAGACTTGATGGGCCCCTACTACACGTTTCATGTATATTATATATATACTGTATATATATATATATATATACAGTATATATATATATATATATGCATTAATCGCATTAAAAAAATGAATGCAATTGATGCATATCCGATGCCCAAGCATCCCATGATATCACTCAGAATGCGGCGGACACGTGCGTGTGTGAGATGGAAACAGATCAGAGCAGGTCTCTGGGAAGTTAAAAAAGAATACATGCGTGACTGCGAGGAACTTGCTGCTGTTTGCTATGAACTGAACGGGAGTCCGCATCCTCCTGCAGCGTTTTGACCCGGGGCAGCTGCGTGGCTGCGAGCCGCTAACAACAACACAGCGAACGGCGCCGCCGTAACGTGACCATATCCAAGACCATGCACCCACAGAACTATTCTCTTTAATTTGTGTGCGTGTTTTACCTGTGAGTAACCTGTGCACCCAAACACACACCGCTGAAGCTGGACCATGTCCCCCCTGTGTCTCCTTCTGAAACGCAACTAAACTCGCTAAAATAAAGCTGGGGTAAAATGTTGTGATCAAATCAAACAGATTTAATGACATTCTGCCTCAGACAGTTTTGAAATGTCCCTCATCTGTAACAAACAATACTTTTAGTCTGAGTCTAAACAGAAAGACAGAATGTTATTAATGTTAGTGCCATTTTATGTGGATTTATTGTTATAATAAACAAATACAGTACATATGTACACTATGTGGTCATTTATGTTTCCATTCAAACAACCATTTACAGAAAAATATTGCATATTTTTGCCGATAGTTAGAAATGCGATTAATTACGATTAATTAATTTTTAAGCTGTAATTAACTTGATTAAAAATGTTGATCGCTTGACAGCCCTAATATATATAATGTACAGTACAGACCAAAAGTTTGGACACACTTTCTCATTCAATGAGTCATCTTTCTTTTCATGACTATTGCTGTAGATTCACACCCAGGCTGTGTAAGGGCTGTTTGACCAATAAGGAGAGTGACCGGACCTGAACCCAGTCCAGATGCTAAGCATCTCTGGGAACTCCTTCAAGACTGTTGAAGACCATTTCAGGTCAATAACTCTTGAAGCTCATCAAGAGAATGCCAAGAGTGAAGCAGTAATCAGAGCAAAAGGTGCAACTTTGAACTGAGAATATTCTTATATATACTTTTGGTCTGTACTGTATGTATGAGTATATATATATATATGTCTATATATATATATTAGGGCTGTCAAAATTATCGCGTTAACGCGCGTTAATAAAAAAATTTTGATACTATATACATACAGTATGTACAGTATATACTGTAGTAACATGTATTTTTAACGTGTTGTAATTGTGATATATGCATCAAGTCTGACCATATCATGATAAATATGTTTAAAAAATAATTCTAATCAAAGATTTTCATAGGGGTAATCACAATGGAATTGACTTGAACAGAAACTTCCCTGATGCCTTTGCCTCTCAGTCAATTGATGAGACAAAATGTGAAGCTGAGGTTTGAACTTTCTTATCTTCAAATGTCTTTTCCTGAACTTTCACTTAACGGTTTGATTGGTCGTGTGTGTAGGTCCAGGCGGTGATAGCGTGGCTGAAGAAAGAGACTTTTGTTCTTTCTGCTAACCTTCATGGAGGAGCTCTGGTGGCCAGCTATCCCTATGACAACAGTAATGGAGGTATTTTTAATCATGCACTACCCACTGTACAGTCAAACTCAAGCCGTACCAAATAAATAATGTTCAAGAAGACATACTTTGAAAATATCTAGCTAATGTTCCAACTTCCAAATAAACAAAGAAAACAATATGTATTGTATGATATAGTTTTAATTAGTCTAAACGACATAAGCAATTATATTTACAGTGTATATTATTTATTTTAGGACTTTCAAGAATAAACTAAAAATATGAAAATATAAAAAAGGTCTTGTGTGTTTTTGTAAGGCGACGAGCTAATAAACGGAGCAAGCATCAGTCCGGATGACGATGTCTTTGTTTACCTTGCCAAATTGTATTCCTATAACCACGCCTCAATGCACAAAGGGAATCGCTGTACGGACACCAGACCATTTGTGGATGGCATCACTAATGGATACAAGTGGTACGCCCTCCCAGGTAACATCAATATATAGTTTATAAATTGTTAAGTGAAATATGTTTCTGAATGTGCCTTGCTGCAGGTGGAATGCAGGACTATAATTACATGTGGGCTCAGTGTTTAGAAATAACGTTGGAAATATCCTGCTGCAAGTATCCTCCCGTCAGTGAACTTCCTGCCATGTGGACCGACAACCGAAAAGCGCTCATTTCTTATATCCAGCAAGTCCATTTGGGTTAGTGTGATGGTTCGAGTCACAAAACTGAAAGTCATGAAATTGTAAAATCATGTTTCTCCATTCTGAAACTTTCAGGAGTCAAAGGGAGTGTATTTGACAGCACAGGTGCCCCAGTTAAAGATGCAGTGGTGGAGGTCATTGGGCGAAAAAATGTGTGTCCCTTTAAAACTAATCAACATGGGGAGTACTACAGATTACTGCTTCCTGGAAACTACACTTTCAGAGTAAGGACATTTCACTTTCTCACATACTGACCTCCAGTGGTTGAAGTCACTAATACCACTTTGTTTTTTCAGGTAACACACCCGGAGCACCTGGTTTGGACTGAAACTTTGATAATTCCTTATGGTCCAGACAACTACTCAGCGTTAAAGCATGACTTCTTTCTACAAAAAACTACAACAACTCAACAGCCCACTTCAAGAACACATTGTAGCCTTGTGCCAAATGCCGGTGTCAGAGGAGAGGGGAGCGGTTGGCCAGTAGTTGGCCTGGTCCTGCTGGTCTTGTATGTGGGAGAATAAAAACTGCTGACGAAGGAGCAGCATACTCAGGCTATAAGGTGGTGCTGCAGGAGTGTGTGCAAGCGACATGACATTTGCACCAATAAGACTGCACAACATGGAGTTAGAGGTGCCTGGTACGAAAGCAATTGATTTACCGTCAATCTAGTTTACAAAATAGTTTAACGCTTAAGTACCATGCAGCGTCGTCTGATAAGGTGGCACCACTATAAAATACCTCAAAGTACTCAAAAGAAATTCACATAGAGGCCTTCACATGATTACTAATGTGTACAGTCCATGTTTTTTTAACAGATTTTTCTTACATTTTTTACTGTAAACAATTCTCCATTCCACATAGAAAGTGTAAATGCATATGTAGTTTTGTTTAAATACTAAAAAGCCCCTTCCGTTTTCATGAGCATTTATACAAGTCCAGATACTGTTTTGAATGATAACCTTATGAAACCTTAAATCTCCTCACTACTGAATGTAATTTTTTTGTTGTAAAAAGGGTAATTTACTTGATGTTGTAATTTCCAAAAACCTTTTTTTCAGCAGAAAATACTATTAGTGAGCAATAAATCTATATTTTTATGAAAGTGTCATGATAAACATACACTATACATTTAGAAAAATCATATCATCACAGGTAAAAGTTGCCAAAATGTATTCACGTTTTAATGGGAAAACTTGTATTGACCAACTTATGCCAGTAGGAGTCAGCCTAGAGTAAAATAATAGACCAAATGTTTAAATATTCGATATGTATTTATTTGTTTCAAAAAAGTATATTTTATAATTAATCTGTACAAAGTGACTGTTAAACATCCTCAAGCCTCTTAAATAACTGGACATAAATATTAGGATATTAAGAATATTTAACATAATCACTTATAGCATAAAATACAGACTTCCTGGAAAGAATGTGCATTAAATAAATAATACAAATATTGACACCAGTGCAAAAATACTCTTGTAAAGTCTCCAATCCAATTGCAATCATATTTTTCTAAAAATTAAATTAGATTTCTTCCTTCTCAATGTTTCTTTCCAGGAACTCAGAAATAAGAAATGAGTGTTTGCAAAAGTTAGATTTGTTTATATAATGTAGCATTGTATGATTTTAAAATGCTTAAAATATTTGAGGAAAAAAATAAGGATATTATATTTCTAAATCAGATTAAGCAGAGTACTATAGATATTGGTCTCTTTTCCATCAGATAGAGAATCTAATAAAATGTGCAGTTTTAAACTTCCCGCTCCACAAAAAGCTTAAGTTGAGGTAAATACAGTGCCTTGAAAAAGGTTCAGAGCCTGTGATCCACACTCACAGGCTTATCTCAAATGAGTGATCATTTGTGACCAGACAGAACCACACGATTATCAAGCCAATGTAAATCACGTTCTTGCTAGAATTCATGTTGCAGCACAAGAAGGTTGTCCAGATGAAAGGTAAACCAGACAAAAAGGGATTAATACTTTTGATCACAGCACTTTTCAGTTTTTTTGTTAAAACACATAATGTAAATAATTTAAATTTATGTTTTGACTACAATTGTCTCCCACTTAAATATTTTCATATTTTTTGTTGGAAAAAAAACAACACAGTTTGTGGTCATAACATGAGAACATTTGGAAAGGTTTGGAATGAAGGGTATAAACACTTTAACAAGGCACTGTATCTTTGCTGGTTGCATTGGATTTAGTGCAATCGTATTGGAAGGCCACTAGCTGAGGTAAGTCAGAATGACAGACTGGATTGGCATCCTGCACACTGGACATAACTTGTTTCTCTTCTTGAGTTTACGCGCACACACGTAACAGGACATGAGGTGTCCTGTTCGCCCATGAACTATACAGCCGTTCTTAGGCCGCGTCTGGCAGATAAGACAAGGGTCCAGACAGGAGTCTGGCAGCCGAGACTCGGCCGACACACTGCGCTCCAGGTCAGGCACAGTCATTGCAGCATTGACTGAAGACATTGCTGTAGGTGAGCAGGGAAGAGTTTCCTGAGAATCTGATGAAGATGGCTGCGAGTCGGTCCAGAGTTTGTCCTGTGAGAATGATGAGAAAGAGGACGGGAGGGATGAGGACAGCTCCTGGGAGTTTGGAGCTGAACAGCTGGACTCTGGGACAGAGACAGTTGAGTCATCCAGGGTTTTTGACCTTTTACCATCCGGGACATCAACTCCATCATTTTCTTCAGCATCAGAACCTTTGACATCAGCAAGTTAACCATCAGTAAACCACTATTAGAGAGAAATGGAAAAAAAAATCTAAACTTTTACCTGGACTTTTTTGAGCCTCCAATTCTTTTGGTTTGGCAGGGAGCCATTTGGGGCCTGGATCAGATTTGATCACTTCAGGCAGCCAGTCCCGCCGCAAAGTCCAGCAGCGTTGACAGTTTCTTGGGAGTGGTGGGTTCAACTCTTCACATGTTCCACATTTCCAATAGTCCTACAAAATAAACACAGCTCAAGTTAAGCGTTTTCCTGTCTTGGTTACAATGCTCAAATGTGAGAAAATTCTATACTTTCATATTTAGACTTGACAAAGCAAGCTGCATTTCCTTCAGTTTTGGAATGATATCAGCATATTTTGGAATGCATGGCAAATTGAGGGGGCAACGTTGGGAATTGATAATTTTATGCAGATGGAAATGTAATGTGTATTCTACTGCATGTGCCACATAAAACAGAAGATTTCTTCAAAATGTATACTTTTTTTTTTTAAATTAGGATGTCCACACTCATGCTTCCTGTTCCTTGTCCTCCTATGAACGTTATCAGTTTACTGTGCTAATAGGGCAAATAAAGGAAGCCTGATTTATAAGACGTCTCGGTTAGAATTAGATAATCTAAATACATTCTGGAGCTACAGACCTGTTAATACATTTAAGGACAGCCCAATATACTGATAATTTTCACAAAAACCTCTGGCCTCTGCTCCCCAGCAGAGGCCAGGATAAGCATGGAGAATACAACCTTAGGTTTTAGTCAATGATAATGTAGCACTGATTACAACATTTTGTCCAAGTCAATAAAAGCAACACCAGTACTTACAGCTTCACTGATTTCAGTGTCTTCATCAAAGGATTCTTCATCTTCAGCCTCGATGATTGTAACCTCGTAAACCTGAACATTCACAATAAAATGTAACATGAGTTTTCATTGGACAAATAAAATTGTAATAATTTCCAATTTCACATTAATAACAGTGACCTGATCATCTCCAGATACAGATCCATCATCTTCATTATAGTCATCCGAATCAATGGACTCAACCTCAAATTCAACACTGAAGTTGTCACTGTCAGTGTCTGATGCTGGAATTGCAACCTCTGATTTCTCTGACTAAAATGAAATGCATATGGTGTAAATATTGGTCCAAAACATTATAATAAAAACACATGAGTTCTGAATGTAAAGAAACTCACAGTGCTGAGAGTTTCTGAAGAGCGGCTACTGTGTCTGTCCCGCCCTCCTCCCAATCCACCAATCACACACCACGATAGACTCTCATCAAACGTCAGAGAGTAACTGTCTGATCTCCTCCGCTTTGGCCCGTCCTCCTCCTCAGAGTCGTCCACCATATCTCCAGCCTCTGTGCTTTGAGAGGGACCTGAAGGTTACAAACACATAAAACATATGTTAAGTATTTAGTAATAAAATCTAAGATAAATGGATAACATGGATCCGCCACAGTCATTAAAAGTAAAAGGAATTAGGGTCTAAATCAGGGGTGCTCACACTTTTTCAGCATGCGAGCTACTTATAAAATGATCAAGTCAAAATGATCTACCTACTACAAAAATGCAAAACATATATTTATTTCCAAATATATTGAAGATTTTTTATATCTACAATGTGTATTGATGTACATGCAAAACCGCATGACTTATAAAATAATTTGCATCCACACATAACCGAACATCTGCGTTTTCAATGACATTAAATAACATTCCAAACATGTGCGTCTCTGACGTCCTGCGTCGGGGAAAAAAACATAGAAGTGGGCGGAGCTTTGATGCAGATGCCGGTCCTTCTGTTGCGGCACATACAGTCATAGTAGAAACTCAGGGTGAAGACATATTATTATAGATCCATGGTGAAGACATATGTTTACAAGCACTGACCCCCGTCCTCAGCCCTGGTTTAATTTAATTTAATTTAATTGTTTTCGAGCGTGTCTGATCACTTTGCTGCTCTCTGATGTGGGGCGAGGATGTTCGCTGCTGTGAACAGCTCGCAGCAGTAAGATCCATGCTTCAGTGATCAGAGGTTGCATGTTTTGTTTGTTTGTTGTAGTTTTGGGGGCATAATGAGACGTTAAGCCCCCAACTCCAGTTATCTCTGTCTACACGCAAATGCATAAACGTATTGCGCACTCCTGGTCTAAATGACCCAGGATTGGTCAAGTCAGGAAATAACATCAACGAAAAGAAATTACTTTAGGGGATTTTTTTTAATCACCGTAGGGGTTCAATTTGACTCAAAGATATCACAGGGGTAACATTTTTTTAACCCCAAATATTCATCTAAAAACAGTCTAGTAACAGAACAGAAATGTTATTATAAGTTATAATAATAATATAGGAGTTCATATAAATAAATCTAACAGGAGAGATTTTATGCGTCGAGCACAATCAAGAATACCTTTATTACACACTATTCATTCTGTAAAAACAGCTTTCTTTAAGTCAAACAAACCTCAACAAATAAGGATTCAACAATCAAGTTTACTTTTTTTTGTCAAGTGATAAATTATTGGTAAACTAAAGAAACATTTGGTCAACTGATTTGTCCACTAAAAAAGGGGAGTATAGCAAAAGCTCTGGAAAATAAAAAATAAAAGAAATCTCAAAAAAATGCTATTAATAAAAGGAATGTGAACATTGTGAAAAGAGCTTTTGATCTGGTCTAACTAACATGGTAAATTATTCAAGACAGTACAAGATCTCAGTAAGCCGACGATGCAGAACATCACTAAATGTATATTAACATTTTGTCCCTGATTAAGATTGTCACAGCCCAAAGGGTTGAACACCCACCTGTATCACCACTCATTAGCCGCCTCCTTCTCCTCCTCCGTCTTCTTCTGTCCAAAGATGCACAACTTTCAGCCCCTCCCTGAACACAAACGCATTATGATTCAAGAAGCAGAATATGAAATTAAATGTACTGATCATAGCAACAATATAATAAAAAACAAACCAGTCCACAAATGTACCTCTGTGATTTTGTTGGCCTCGCTGCCACTTTGGCTATCACTTGATGAAGAGTCTGAAAGCAAAAGCAAACAAGAACATAAGTAAAATATGACTGATAACTAGAGGATAGGTATGTTCCTTTTGGTCTAAAAACATGATTTGATTCTAACAAAATAATAAGGATAAACATATGGCTAAACATTAAAAATACAGTACAAGATGATAAGAATTGATAAACAAGTGAGAAGAGGAAATGTACATACTGGTAGATTTAGATCTAAAATCTAACTGCAGTTTGAAAAATGGTGGGGATGTGTTTGAGTTTAAAAAAAAATCCTCTTTTGAGGGATTCATGTTTAACTATTTTGCAAATGATGTGCAGTAATTGTAATTTCCTAACAATACCTTGGTTCTTCACAGCAATCAGGTTTTTTGTGAGCATAGCAAACAAGGCACTGGAAATAGAAACAGGGTAGAATTAAACAAACCAGTTTCAAATGAACAATGCAAGTTTTATTGGTAAAAATTGGTTTACCGAGGTTCTTTAACTGAGAAACTATCAACACCCAGAACTTGCCCAAGTGCGTCCTGTTCACAGTGGACAATGTGCTGCTGCTTCTGGTCATACAGCTTTTTCTGCATGATGTACTGTCCAAGATAAAACATAACCTATTGGAAAATAAAAGAATTAGCTTAAATAATTATAGCACTAATTATAAAGCATCTTGAATGAATGCAGCAGACACATATCGGAAGTTAAAAGATAAAAGTGCAAATCAGGATGACCAGGGTGGCAAGAGCAGCTTAGCACAGGGATGCATGACATGACAAACTGTACCTCTTTCATGGTAAATACATCTTTTGTCGCACCAGCAAGTTGTAGTAATGACTGAAACTCTACCTTTGGCTTGACCTGAACAGAGATAAAGACAGGTCAGACTTTTTATACTTTAACATTTATCTGAATAACAGCGCATGTAAACAATTAGGGGTCTCACCAGTTTTGTATCATCAGGGGTGTCAGAGACGAATTCCTTCTCCGATGACATTGTCAGAGTGTTGTATCTGAATGGGACATATTAAAATACTTTAACAACTTTAACTTTACCACAAGTCAAATGGAAGCTGGAACTGAATCTGACAGCTTAGACCAAAAATGCACAATAACAGTTCAAATAAAAGGCTACAACAATGTTCTTCATACAAAAAAAATAATGTATTCTTACCGGTGTACACTCTACAAGCAGCTCATCATGTGCAAAAAAGGATAAAGTGCCGTGAGAAGAGAGCAGAGTGGCGCTGCAGCCTCTTATACAGAGCCTCAGACATGTCAGGACTAGACCAACCAAAAAGGACTTGCCTAGTCAACTGTGGCCTATCACTACTCAGTCAGCTGGAGGAAACTATGACCATGTTGCAACAACTGTACCAGTTGATTTAATCATGTGCCAACATGCCACAACTAGTCTCTAGTGACTCAGACGTCTTCGAGAACATGACGATGATAAAAAAAACATCTAAATATCATCAAAAAGGGAAAACGCTAAATATGACCAAATATGAAAAACAAGCTCATGTGCCATAGGAAACTAACACGTTTTTTCAATATCTTTTCACACATGTTAATCTTCAGCTCTGTGAATAAACTGAAAATAAAAAAAAAACATTAATACACTGTGGCATTGTGCTGAGTGGATGCAATGTGATAGAATCGAGAAATACATTTCTATCACATGTCCAGTCATCCTTCAGTACAACCTTTGAGCATATTGACTGCTTTAGTTTTGAGCTGAGGGGAATGTTCGTAATGACTGGTGCGCAAACCGATGACACACAGTTTGTGTCAGCTGGTGAACACGCACTTACACACGCACGCTCCTACACACAGAGGAAATATGCCTGGACTTGTCCCGCTCCCCGTTCATAAGAGCCCTGGTGTAGCATGGATCTCAGGACACAGGCATAGACGTTCTCCCTTTCACATCGTTAAAGCATTTAGAGTTTAAACGATACAGCTAACCCCAATAAATCACAAGGTAAATGTAGTTTAAGGCATTCAAATGAACAAACTAAAAACCCAAGTGAGTCGCGTATTTTCTCTGATTATGTTTAAATCCAGGTTATGAATAGTTCTGTTTAGCTGTGCATTCAACTGAGGGATTTTTCTTTTTATGTACCGGGAGCGTGATTTCAATGCCTTGTGCGATTGTTTCCATCTTGTTCTGATCCGCACTTTTGAGTTTACTAGTGCATGATTCGTGCAAAACATATAAACTTGCCACGTGCAGCGCGTAACTAGCCAACTATCAGGCGAACTGTTCACTGTCATTATGAATTGACTGGCCTTGCAATGAACATGTTTGCAACGGAACAAGACAACGCTTTATTTGTTATTGTTTTCATGAACAGTTCTCAGCCATCTGTTCCTGTGTTACATAAGTGTGATGATTGAAGAAAAAAGTTGGAGCATTAATGTTAGACCTAGAACACTTGAATTAATGTATGTTTAACTTACCAAATGGGAAACCAATAAAGACGATGTAATTATTAATTTCCGCTTGAAAACACGAGGTTCCCGGCCTTTCGCTCGTTAGCAGCAGCTAGCTTGGTTAGCTCGTTTAGGCTAGAGTTAGCTTATGACGAGATCCCACCGTCGCTAAACATGTCGATTCAGCGTTTGGCAAAACTTAAAAACTTCCTTTAAATATTACATCCAATCACTTGAGGTTAAATGCTTACTTGTTTCGGTCTGTTTACATTACAACGCTAACACGGACATAGGCTAACATCATGCTACCCCGACTGTTTTGTACAGCGCCCTCTAATGGCGTTCTGTCATAGCGTTACTTGTTTGACCATGTTGACATGCAAATCGTGCATATGTATCTATTTTGACAATCATTTACAGTAAATATATGGATTTTTTAAGTCCCAGGTTTGATCATTGTCTACCAAACACAATCATAGAGTATATTAATTCGAATTGAATCAGGTCACACAAATACCACCTGCCCAATTTGATTATCAACCACTACATGCCTCATTGTTATATAAAAAAATATCTTGATGTAACATGAAACATCTTTTAATTTTATTCTTTTTTTTATATAAAACACAAACATGTTATAAGAATAACAAAATCATTTTCATGGTTGTAATTCATAGCCAAGAGGATCCAATCCACGGTCCAGTAATGCCAGTGAAGACTCTCGCAACTTTTGAAGGAACCGCCTTAACTCCTCCTTGGAGAAAACCTTTGAGAAAAAGATTGAGAAAAATATAGTAATAGCCAGTTAGATTAATCATGCACTAAAGCATTGGTGCCAAATAGGTTCTCAAAGGGCTGACGCAACAGGAGCAGGAGCAGACCAGACTCCATCCATTTTCTTAAACAAATCCAGCCTTAATCTGGAGATATGAGGAAATGGGTGGAGAGTAGAATGCTCCCGCTTAGTTGTAATGAAAACCAGCCACCACTGTCCTTTCTTTAATCATTCATAAAAATAATAATTTTAAAATATGCAATTAAATGTGATACCTGGTATAGGCGATGTTGATCAGAAGAGATTATGTCTGCAAGTCTTAGAGCCTCTTGATGCCTAGAGGAGTTCTGTAACACGCTCAGCAACAGAAAACTTAGTCGAGGAAGGCAGAGAGACCGGAGAGCTGTCATCTGATGACTGCGCTCTGAATCTGGTTCCTCATCCTATTGAACAGATTAACATTTAGAAAATGTAGGACAGACACACATTAACATACAAATATGTGTGTCATAAAATACCGGCTGATTATCGACCATCCATCCTCCATCAACAAACAACAGCACATTATAGATTCTTTCTTTGACATCTTCAGTGAGAACCTCCAGCCGACAGGACCAAGCAGCTAGTGCAGCCTTTAATGGAGACATATCAAGATTAAGTTAAATCACTTTTCAGTATACTGAGCTGCTATCAAAGAAATGTCTTGCATACCTGGTATTCTTTCTCTCTCATTTCATTTGCCACTTTCTCTGTGAATTTGGCCTCAGACGCAGGTGCTGGTTTTTGGGGTGCAGAGCTACTATGGTTGAACCACTCGGTAAACGCATCATGGGCTTCCTGTGATTGAAGTGATTAATATTCTGATAGCATATGTGTAGATTTACTTAAAATAATAAAACTAACCAAGTAGGCTCTAATGCAGAGGTGTTCTCTGATGCCATTCTCATCTTCAGCAGGCATTGTCGAGTCATTGATTCCCGTCCACTGGCTGTAAATCTTTTTCATTGAATCCTCTGGGACCTTAGAGAATACTGCCTTAGCAGCGTCATGCTTCTGAAGAGCTAAAAGGATAAGTAGGAGATGGGTAAACAGAAAAATATTTGGAATTTAATGTTGAAGCCTATAGCCCAGTCACATTACCCAAAAACTTCCTCATGATGGCATTGGACTGCTTTAGAGCCTCTGCTCGGTGAGAAGGATCAAACAATAGCCAGTCAATAATATCTATCTTATTTTGATCCTCCTGTTTATAAGATGAAAGAATTATCAATTTGGAATGTACAGTAATTCACTTGATATCAATATTGCAGTTCAAAATAAATGAATTAACAATTATTAACATACCTTTGTAGTTCCAGTCTCTATGGTTTGGCTGTGGTGAGTAAACTCAGTTTCATCTGCCTCCCTCACATTTTCCACAACAAGTTTGGTAATTGCAGTCACATCCAGGCCTAAAAAGGAAACGTATCATTGTTCAAGCTTTTATTTTATGTGCACACATACTATTTAATAATCACATTTTATTTTATACGCGCTTTCAGAAAAAAACATCTTAGCTTTTTGTTTGATGAAAATTAACTAATAATTAGCATGAAAATCCAGGCAAGTATTCCCTTTACAAGAACAAGTGCTGATTGTACTCCATATCTGGAAGAGGGTAGCTTCCCAGAATCTTTCCTACCTGCTTCAGTGCCAAGTTCAAGGCAGCGAGGTCTAAGCTCTGGCTGGGTGATGTTTTCTAGAAATGAAGCATACTGCACTGTAGCAAGGTCAGACGGGAGATGGCTAACGTAGCTGGCCACAAGGTCAATCTGCTGATCTTGTATCAGCAAGGACACGTAAGATGTCAAAACATTCACACACACGTCGTCCTATAACAAAAAAAAAATCATGAAAAGTATTCAGCTTTATGAAAAAGAAAACTGATCAGCAACGGAGCTGTATGATTGAAAATTATGCATCGTAGTTCATTTAGAACTCTACCTTAAGTGCTAATCCAAGAGAACGAAAAAACAAGATGACATGGGTCATAAAACGCAACAGATGAGCAGGAAGTGGTTTGGCAGCAGTAAGCCATTCAGAAAATGTATCCAAAAGACCTGACAAGAGATGTTTTACTTAAAAAGGATTCACAATCACATTAGAAATAAAAGTATGATTTAAGAAAACTGACAAACCATCTAAATCGCCAAGAATGATGAACTTTTGTACAACGTGGTAATGTTCTTTGATCTCCTCAAGAACTCTCTTTTGAAAGAAACAGAAATAGTAAGAAGTTTTGACAAGTTTTAAAATCATAAAAACTAAAGTACCTTTGACTCAGAGGCTTGAAGTTCTTCAAATACTTTTTCCATTGTCCAACTAATAAGAGATTAAGAAAAAATAACAGAAAGGAATGATTACAAGCATTTATTTTAAAAAATTGATTAATGATTTAATGCTGAAATAGGGATATTACATTAGCCATAAAACTGTAACCTTACTTTGCCTCGAGGTATTCGCGCGGCAACATCTCTACCTCTTGGTGAGCCATGCCCGATGACATCAAGTCTTTTTCGACCAACGAATCAACCATCACTCTGAAGTGTGCCCAGACATAATCTTCCCAAGACTCACATACTGACAGGAGCTAAATTTAAAGCATAAATGTATTTTTAACAAACATACAACATATATTTTTTTCAATTACTAATTACCGGTTTCAGATTTCCACTAAGACAGGCATATATGGCCTTCTCATATCGATTTATCTGCTCCTACAAAAAAATAAGATATTGGCACATGAGTGATCTGGTAAGTGTACTTCTGTGTATTTAGTTAGTAATAGAATAAAGTACCTCTTCGGCCATCCGCCAGCAACATGCCTTCCAGATACCCCTTTGTGGATTTCCTTCAACAAGTTGGAGTTCTAGATTTGCTAGAAAATGTAGATACCAATGTTATCATACCATTTGAAAACCAGAATAAATGCTCAAAGTGATGAAAATATGAAAAGAAAAATAGATTCATTACTATAAAAAATATAATACCCGAGTTGAGGTTAGGGTCATGGTAGAGCTTCCAACCCTCCAGAGTTGCTGCTCGCCAAGCCTGACCACAACGCTTACACAACCTTTGAGCCTAGCACAAGAAAATAATTAACAATTAATATTATTATCATTATGCCAATTATTTAACACAATAGTGCCACACTTAATCAACTTGCCACAGCTGAAAAAAAATAAACTACAAAACTAATATAAAAATAAAAAAAATTGTATCTTCACATCATCCCAATATTGATCCCTTGTTCTCATTATAACAATTATGTTACACTAGTGTCATTGCTTGACTCATCTCTGACAGACGCGTTTGTGTTGAAAAGGGTTAGAGCGAGGGTCGGCTCCTGGAGCTTCTTCAAAAATGTCTGAAAATGGTGGGGAGAGGTATATTTTATTGCTAGTTTTTGTTTGGTTTCTCTAAGAGGAAAAACATTTTTAACATTTTCCAATGCTGTTAAAAATATGTATAAGAAATATGAAATTTCAACATTTCTGTCAATGTAGATTTGCGTCACATCCAGTGACGCGGTCATGCGCCAAACGGCCACTGTTGTAAACACACTAACGTGTGTGACATGGATCCCAAAGATAAAAGTGAAAGTCGCAAAGAACAGAGAATTCAAGGAAGAACAAACTGAAACATTTGCTTTCACTGCTAATTAGGAAGGGCTACTCCATGTTTGCTTTGTAATGAGGAGTCAAAAATCAAAAGGAGTCATGTGGAAAGATATTTAACAAGGAATGTTAAAATTTGCAGCTGACAGCCTAGTTTGTAGTGAGAGAGTGATCGCAGTTCTTCTCCGAAAAAATCTACTGCTGAAGTTTTGTTGCAACACTGTTCAGTAATTTACGCCAGCCTGTGACGTGATCGATATGAAAACAGACAGTGCTGTAATGCAGGTATGAACTCTGGGCCATATTTTGCATTTGTAGCCGTCATTTTGGTGGTCGGCTATTATGGCGAATACAGCTATATTATAAAGGCAATAAGCTATAGCTTGTTGCCTTCTTACAAGCCGTATACAAAGCTGCTAATTCCATGCGGCTCCAGACAGTTTCGTATTTTTGTCAAATATAGCTCTTTGAACCATTTAAATTGATGACCCTTGGGTTAGGACAGGCTTGAGTATGGGAGGCGTAAGCATGCAGTTTTTAATAGACATCACCATTAATCTTTATACCTCCTCAGTCATTCCTGCTCTGATGAGAGTGAATAAGTTCTTGAGCAGTCGAGCATCATCTTCTCTGTCCAGATCAGCCAGAGGGCGTTTCTGACGAAAAGGTGCATCTGGATCCTGACAGAAGCACAAATGTATACAAATGTATGTAGATATGAACAAGTATTTATATACACAAACATATATTTGGAAATACTGTGCCTTACCAGCTCAGTAACTAGTGGAATTGTAATTGCAGAACCACTTTTGCGCCTCATCTTTAATGCATGGAGTGTGTTTTCCCTGAGGTTGATAGGAAATATTTTGGGTTTTTTGTGACTTATCAGAAGTTTTTAAAAGGCAAAGAGAAACTTACCAACAAACGTTCTTTGCATAATATTCAATATTGTCAGAGAAGTCTCCAATTTGATCTTTGGCAATACTTTCTAACCAATCAACAACAAGCTATAACAAAACATACAACAATATTGGAGCATGAGAAGAACCATTATACATATTACAAATATAGTCCAGTTTTGACCTCTTACCTGACTTTGCCGTATTATGGCATCTCGCTGAAACAGCTGTCCTACCACAGTTTTCTCACTCTCACTGGTAACCTAAAAAAAACAAAAAAAAAAACAGACTTCACTTAGAGTACATACATGAGACAATTACACAGGTGAAGTAATAATCATAATCATTGGTTGTTGAAGACAGTTTGATAAAGGATGAGATACACCAACTCGTTGGACATCTGGAGGTGTTGGGGGGAGTTGAATATATATTGGTTTGGTGTGGACTGACATGTAAGGCCACAACTGACCGGTATGGGTACTTTTGGGATAATTTCAACACGCAATCAGATGAAGCCATCAGGTCTTGGTCAGTGCAAACTGTGCATGTGAGAGGGAGAGCGGGAAGGGGAGAGGGGAAGGGCGGTCTGCAGATTTGCATGTATATGTCGGAAGAGGAGCTGCTGCTGGCCTTGTCGTGGTGTTCTAGTTGGTAAAGACTGTGCAGTCACAAACACTACATTATCCCTTGCACCCACCCCACCAAATTCCCAGGGTCAGTTTATACGCAGTCACAGAAAGTTTATGCAGCATGGAGATGGCCAATATTGGTCTCAACAAGTTTTCAGCCAAACTGGGCTAACAACAGTCAACAATGTAGGGTGTTTGCTTTCGCCTGGTTGGTGTATCTAAGTCTTCAGCAACACAAATAAGTCTTAATATGCTAAAAAGGATAACTTACACCTATATCCATCATTACATCATCTTCAAGAGCCAACTGGACTCGATCTCTGATGGAAGACAATAATTGAATAAAAAAAACTACAATTACATGATAAAACTGCGATGCAGTACCTGTAGAGAGAGTTAATCAGTCTCCAGGTGCTATTTTCCTGTTGCAGCAGCCACCTCACTCCGGCCGTTTTACTGTTTTGACCCGCTCGAAGGACCACAGACTGAAGCACATCCACCTACAAGGAAATATTTATATAACTACAATACAAACATTTTCCAAATATCTAAGCAGCTACCTTTTCTTGACAGAGAGCTTGATAATCCTCTAATAAGTCAAATACTGCAGACAAAGAATGCTTCTGGAAGGAACTGAGAAAACCGCTAAATAAACTTGCAGCGGCTGGAAAAACAAACACAATCAATTCAAATGGAGCAAAAATATTAATAAATCATATACTTGACAGTATTGAGTGCATTTACCAGTCTCTCCAGGGTCATCCTCCTTTAGCAGTGCAGAACTAAGATTTGTAATGTCATCTGTAAAGAAACTAGTGTTTTCAAATCCAGACACAGGGGAGATGTACATGCTGTTGGTCCAATCACTGTCGTCTAAGTTCTGAAAAAAATGAAACAAACATTTCATATCAAGTTCGAATTATCATCAACTTTCAGTTTGTCTCATTGTCTCACCAGGCTGGAGGGGACACCTCTGGGTGTGTATCGTGGAGTTCTACCTCCAGGAGCCAAAATAGAAGAAGCATCTGGGACCCGAGGAGTTACTTTGGAAGAAAAATGCAAATGAATCAATGGGAACAAATATGGCATGACATCAACTTAAGTCAACATACCAGCCTGCCTAAACAAAGAAGCAGGAGTATTCTTCAGAAAGAAGCGAGCTGGTGTTCCAGTTGAAGCAATAGGACTTCCAGGGGATGGGACTACAATACTCAGGAAAATTCAGAGCAAGTCTTAAATTTCCCGCTGCAATAAAAATCCATACTGAAACTAAATAGCAGTTAATGGATCAGTCTGAAGTCTCAAACTAGCCTCTATTATACCACTGTTTCATGGTACGTTATGATTTTAGAATGTATCTTGAGAAAGAAAAATATGAAACCCAAACACAGTATGTTTATAGTTAAGGATACAGGCCACTTTCTTCTTTCTTCTGCGTGCAGCAACTGTCACTTCATCATCTCGAACCACCGGAGAAGGCAGATCATTCTGACCCCTTAAAAACAAAATAAAATAGTAACTTTCATTGTAATGCTAATACAAGACAAGCAGTGGTATTAGCATGTTAGCCCAAGCTAGCAAAGAAACATGTGCAGTATCTGGAAAGCAAGTTCATGAGAACATCATAAACACAAAGCAATCTATGGCAGACGTATGCTCTTAGTGTAAGTATATATATAAAATTGGATCTGTTGTTTAATATGATTTGTTTACCAGTCCATTCTGTCTGTTCCCGCTTGGCGAGGTTTCTAAACTCCACGGCGGACTACTTCATGTGTCATACTTTTCCAGTTGTAATGGAGGTGCGCCACCACCTGGACTATGGGGGAAACGTCCATCAATATGTACATCTGCTCATTTTGGTCAAATCGCAACAAATCAAACACATAAAAAGGGTTTACTATGACCTACTTTTCTTTTGGTGAGCACAACAGGCAGGTATTATATTTTATAAGCATGGGGCGTGTTAATATTATTAACGCGACCAATGCAGAGGGTGGCGCTGTTGCGCTGGACCCGTGAGTCCAGCGGCGCAGCCTGAACACAGAGGAAACCTGCATCGTTGGTTTTCTATGGACTTGAGGAGCTGCACTGATAAACTCCACCAACTTCAGAGTGGGGCATTTGTAGATTTCTCGTATACCACATACTGCGTAGAAATAGTTTGGTGGTATTTTCACGCGAATCGAGTCCCTAGCCAAAATTGTGACAACACGTATCGATCTACGAAGACCCCAGGTATTTTTGCCACTTTTTGCATGTCTAAAGAACAGTCAACCCCATTGATAGCTGTTGGCACTTGACACGTTGTTCAGACCACTCTATACACAGACACACACGTATATAGGGAAAAAGCAGTTCATCTATTCTTTTTGATTTAAACAAAACCATGTAAACATAATTTAACATCAGAATTGTGAGTATTTTTTGATAACGATAATACAACTTAGATTTCAGCGCGTAGTCTAACATTGTGAACTTGTGATAAAAAGTTACACATTTCTTGTTTTGTCTTTTTAGAATGGAGACACCCCAGTTGCAGTGAAACTGATTGAGAAACCGAACTATGGCTGAAGGAATTCTAAATCTATCTGCCAACAAGCGTCTTATTGCAGGCTTGTTGGTCAACTTGTTGTCTTCAATCTGCATAGTCTTTATCAACAAGTGGATTTATGTTCATTATGGCTTCCCGAATATTACTTTGACCCTGGTTCATTTTGTGACCACATGGCTGGGACTTTACATCTGTCAGAAAATGGACATTTTTTCCCCAAAAAGCCTTTCATTTAGCAGGATTGTGTGGTTAGCCTTAAGTTTTTGTGGCTTTGTGGCCTTCACTAACCTTTCCCTGCAGAACAACTCAATTGGAACTTACCAGTTAGCTAAGACCATGACAACACCTGTAATAATCTTCATTCAGACCACTTACTACAAGAAGACCTTCTCCACAAAGATAAAATTGACCTTGGTTTGTTTGTCTAAACTTTTTGATTATTCCGCTTTACAAAAATGCATTGAATACATTTTCCCTTTTATTCACCAGGTGCCTATAACGTTAGGCGTCATACTGAATTCTTACTACGATGTGAAATTCAACTTGCTCGGAACAGTGTTTGCCTCACTAGGTGTCCTGGTGACCTCACTATACCAAGTGGTAAGTAAGTAATTGTCTGATTACAATGATAAAGAATATTAGGATTAACATTTTCAACAAAAATATTAAATGTTTGCCTGGACACCTGGTCAACATGGTTACAGATCATGTTTGGCTGCCTGATGTAATTATTTTGATTGATATTGATCTCTTATCTGCAAAAACAATGGACTGAAATATGAGGCTGAATAGGAGCACCAGTCTTTCACAAAGTTTAAACAAGCACAATTTCATTCAGTGTTTGCTCCTGTGTACCTTAGGGGACAATATGTGTATGTATAAAATTAAAAAAGAAAATTGCATGTATTTACATTAGAAAAACAGTAATAATGCATACTACCTATATATCACTTTTCAATTATTCATTCTCTCTTCACATTGTAGTGGTAAACTTCTATTGTAATTTCCCCTAAGAGTGAAAAGTAGATCCTTGTTTAAAAAAAAAGCTATTCCTAAAGAATCCTAAAGCTCCTAAGGTGAGATCTCTTAAGAGTTGAGAGCCAAAAGCAAAAATTGTTCCCCTGTCCAGTTAGGTTTCCTCTTTCTTATTCTCCATTGCTGTTCACTTGGTGGTATATTTGAAAGTCGACTAACATGGCTTCTCATGGCTGGTCAGCAATCACAACTGTGCCATTTTACCATTGTTACACCAAAGTGAGTGGAAATGGTACAAGTTTAAAGAGAAAAAATGACCAGCATGGTAATTAACATATAAAATAATTATAACTATCACTGTGTTAATACTGTGCAGGGCCTACGTTTCCACACATTCTGTATGTTTTTTAAAAGTCTAACTTACTTTTACACTCTTCCTAAGATTAGATTCCATGATTAAGTTTGTCCATTTGAGGGTCCTTATTTTGCCTATTAGCACCATAAGTATGTTTTATCTAACTGTTAGGATCAACCAATCACAGCGTCTGAATTGAGTCGATTGTTCATGAAATTGAACATTTATGTCTTTTATGTTCCAGTGGGTGGGAGCTAAACAACATGAGCTCCAAGTAAACTCAATGCAGCTTTTGTTCTACCAGGTGACCTAAAATCCTAATTATGATTATTTATTTATTTTTTACCTCATAACATATCGATGATAATTGGAATGGTGCATTTAAATGTACATTGCAATGACAATGTCTTGCATAATGTTTTAGGCTCCTTTGTCATCGCTTTTTTTGCTCTGCATTATACCATTCTTTGAGCCCCTCACTGGGGAAGGGGGGATATTTGGACCATGGTCTCTACCTGCATTGGTAAATGTAGCCTCTTACTCATATTATTGATACTTGTGAATGCCACTGTCCATGGTGAATACCCAAGTGTTACATTTATAGGCAACTGTGCTGGTCTCTGGTGTCGTTGCATTCCTTGTCAACCTTTCAATATACTGGATCATTGGAAACACCTCAGCTGTCACGTATCCTTTTTATAATTTGCATGTGTGTGTGAGAGATTTTTTTATTATGATTCTGTATATTTCTTAACATTGATTTGAAGTTACAACATGTTTGGCCATTTTAAATTTTGCATTACTTTGGTTGGAGGTTATGTGCTTTTTCAAGATCCAATGTCAATCAACCAGGTCTGTACTATAATGACAAGCTGATAATCTCAATACATTTGTTTATTTTTATCTCCCACTGTGTTGTTAACAGGCACTTGGAATTCTTTGCACTCTGGCTGGTATTCTCTCCTACACGCACATAAAACTTATGGAACAAGAAGAAGGGAAGAACCGTTTGGCTCAGAGGCCTTAGCTGGAAATCAACACAAGAAAAATATGAGGCACTTATGATGCTTAAAGTGCTAATCCAGGAATCCAATCAGTGTTAATGTCCCAGAATGTAATTTTGCACTATAAAACATGCATCTTTATTTTTTCTCGTCCAGTTATGCTAGATGAGAAGTGTTATCTCCATACAGAAAGTGCAAGGCTATTGCCATGTCATTACATGGACCCTCCTCAATATGATCTACTGTCGCTTTAATCTTATGAAATATCAAAGACTTTTACATTTTGTGTTTTAATTACCCACAAGTTAGAATTGTTAAATTGTTGTCTCCACATTTGTTGTTCCAGCATTTCAATTTTGTCGAAGCAAAGCTATGTTTTTGTTTGTTTATGGTGGTTCTTATTATTTCAAGCACTGTTTGGTTAATTTAGTTTAAAATATAACATTACAAAGTTGTGCCTTCTGTTATTGCATTGAAATATGTGAAATACATTTCTAATAATAAAATGTTCACCACAGAATTGTAAAATATTAAATATATGCCTTCTTGGTGTACAATTTCCACTCGGAGACCAAATACTTTTTCACTTTTAGTCAGGCATATTGTAAGTGTTCCAGTGTCGGGTCCTTTTCTAACCGATGTTTTGCTACGAAAAGAAGGTAAACTGCCACATTCAGCGAGCGTTTATTTTTGAGAAATCACTGGTATTAGGAAACCATTATGATTAACAATTATTTATCTTCGTCTATCTTTTTATAATATGCTGTGCTTTTAAAACGTGAGGTGTCTATATTATGCTTTGCTCACGGAAGTAACTGAGCGGGTCGTCGGTCTAGCTATGGAAGCTAATGCTAAAGCTAGCGCAAATATATTTTAGCATGTTATTTTCTTCCGTGAAGTTCTGGATTCATAAATTGTTTTTATTTTCAATTGTCCTCCAATAGCAGCAATACTCAGTGTTGTATCATGTTACGCTTTCGTATGCTAACGTACTGCTAACGAGCGGGGGCTAAATTGTTACGTATTTGAAACGCCATAATATTGTATTTAATAGTTTTATCTTGGACCTCAACGTCTATAAATATCTTGAAGTTAACTATTCCTCGTGATACTGACATTTTTTATCTGATGTTATAGCATGCCCGCTGAAGGCAAACGCTTAATAGACATGGATGAGAAAGAACTTTCTTTTAGTAACAAGGAGAGAGAAGGGGGAGAAAGGAAAGCTGCACCTCGAGATAAGCCAAAAGAAGATGTGAAAATGAGTGCAAAAAAAGACAGTGGGAAAGAAGAGAAGCGAAAACGTATTGAGGAAGACAAGAAGAAGAAAGAGGAGAGAGAACGTAAGAAAAGGGAGGATGAGAAGCAAAAAGCTGAAGAAGAAATGAAGAAGAAAGAGGAGGAGGAAAAGAAACAAGAAGAGGAGAACAAGAAAAAGCTCCAAGAGGAGGAGAGCAAGCGACAGCGTGAAGAGGCAGCAGCGCTTCTGAAGTGAGTCAATCAACTATAGACCCTTACAGTGTTGTGGTTTATTTTGCTAATTACATTTTTTTGCATTGATTTTTCTGAAGGGAAAAGGAAGAATGTCAACAACTACACCAGGAGGCATGGGAGCGACATCAGTACAGGAAAGAGATGCGTAGTAGAAATCAAAGTGCCCAAGATTGTCGTCCTGAAGAAGCGTTTTTCAGTCGATTGGATTCTAGCCTCAAGAAGAACACTGCTTTTGTCAAAAAAATTCGAACACTCACTGAACAGCAACGTGACTCGCTCTCTAACGACTTTGGATCGCTCAATCTAAGTAAATATATTGGAGAGGCAGTGAGCTCTGTTGTAGAGGCAAAACTTAAGATTTCGGATGTCGGCTGCGCGGTCCATCTATGCTCTCTGTTTCACCAACGCTATGCAGAATTTGCCCCTTTATTGTTGCAGGCTTGGAAAAAGCACTTTGAAGCCAGGAAAGAGGATAAGACCCCTAATGTGAGTAAGCTTCGTACAGACCTGCGCTTCATAGCAGAGCTCACCGTTGTTGGACTCTTCACTGACAAGGAAGGGCTTCTGCTCATTTATGAACAACTGAAAAACATCATCAACACTGATCGAGAGACTCACACTCATGTGTCTGTCGTCATAAGCTTCTGCAAACATTGTGGTGATGATGTAGCAGGTCTTGTACCGCGCAAAGTTAAAGTTGCAGCTGAAAAATATAGTTTCACTTTTCCTCCAAGTGAGATAATAAGCCCAGAAAAACAACAGCCTTTTCAGAACTTTTTGCGCGAATACTTTACTTCTCTTGCCAAACATCTCAAGAAGGACCACAGAGAGCTACAGAACATTGAGAGACAGAATCGGTTAGTTAAGATTTACTACTACTGTATATGTGTTTGATCAAAACTGTATGTGACATCTTAAAAAATCTCTCCTCAGACGGATTTTGCATTCAAAAGGAGAATTGAGTGAGGACAGACATAAACAGTATGAGGAGTTTGCAACTTCTTACCAAAAGCTATTGGCCAATACTCAGTCCTTGGCTGATTTGCTTGATGAAAATATGCCTGAGTTACCTCAAGACAAGACGGTGCAAGAAGGTAACGCCATTTCTTACTAATAACTTTGACATATTTTTTCATGTGATATCAGTGTAAGTGCTTGGCTGTTTGTTGGAAATAAATTAATGCAATGTGTTTCAGTAGAGCACGGCCCTGGAATTGACATTTTTACTCCTGGCAAGCCTGGAGAGTATGACTTGGAGGGAGGAATATGGGAAGATGAAGATGCCCGAAACTTTTATGAAAATTTAGTGGACTTAAAGGCATTCGTTCCAGCCATCCTCTTCAAAGATAATGAAAAAACTAACCAGGCAAAAGACAAGGATGACATCAAAGGTATTCTTTAAGTTGTCTGTTTGAAAGACCTGTTATTGTCTTATATCTTCACACTGTTGAAACTCTTCTCTAGATGGTAGAGAGGGAAAGGATGCCGCTGCTGCGGAGGAGCTTGAGTTGGAATTGGAGGCTCTGGATATTGCAGATGAACCACTCGATTTGGAGGGACCCGAAGAAACAGAAAATGAAGAACTTGCCAAAAAACTTATGGATGACCAAGGTAAGAAGGACATGTATTTATACTTGTACTAACACATTTCATTAAATAACAAATGTGCTTAACACATCAGACGCAGGGTTCAGGGTAGATCAGGCGGCTAAATTCAGAATCAGAATCATTTTTATTGCCACGTAAGTAACAGGAGGTCACAGACTTGGAAATTGCTTTGGCTCAGTGCAACAGTCAGAAAGAGATAATAAAAATAAGAATAAAAAACACTTCTAAAGTATAAATTTAAAATAGAGTTACAGTTACTATTTACAATATACAAGTGCACATGGTGCACACAATGTAAGGTGACAGCAGTACAGTGAAGTAAAGTGACGTATGATGGGCAGTAAAGTGACTTTATAAAGGGCGGGGGGACAGGTTAAGAAGTGTTCAAGAGTCCAACAGCAGAGGGGAAGAAACTGTTCTTGTGGCGGGAGGTTCTAGTCATGATGGACCGCAGCCTCCTGCCTGAGGGGAGTGGTTGGAATAGTCCATGTGCAGGGTGAGAGGGGTCGGCTGTGACATGACCAGCCCGGCCTCGAGCTCGGGCGACGTACAGGTCCTGCAGCGATGGAAGGCTGCGGCCGATCACTTCCTCTGCAGAGCGCACAATGCGCTGTAGTCTCTGTTTGTATTGTTGTATTAGTTTATGGGCTTTTATAGTACTCCTCATAACCCAATCTCACAAATCCTACTTTATGTTGCTTGAATTGACCAAACATAACTATTGTAGGCAATAGATTGTAAAGAATGTGCCGCTTTTATACTGTAAAAAATTACATAATTTGTTCGTTGTATCTCAGCTGAAATGATGATTCAGCTGCCACTTGAATAAACTCAAAATTAAGAAATAAAAAAGTTTTAATATCAAATATTTAAAATACTTTGAATTTCTTTAGAGAGGTGAATGACATAGACAACAATTCATAGTACATTGATAAGAATATTCAAAGGTTTTGGTTGAGGGTCCTATATTTCCATTAGTACAAATAACCATTTATGCAAAAATTGTCACTCAAAATCACAAAACCAGTGCTGATAAGAACGTCTCTACAATAGCAGCACACACCTTTCCAGCAGCATTATGGTTTCATGTTTTAAACCACATAAATCAAAAGACCCGGCCATGGCACAGCCTTCTTTTACATTTTCCTTTCTCACAGCTTCACAAACAAACACTGCCAGCACCTCTGAGTCCAGAGCTAATCATAAGACCATAACGTTATCATTATCAGAAGGCTGCAGATGCAGATCGCTTATCTGATTTAATGCCTGATTAGCCGTCACTCCTGCTTTAGTCCTGTTTATTTATTTTCAAAGCAAACATGACTCCTATAATGTGCGCACTTGCCACCGATAGAAACAATGTCAAAGTATAGACCTCACCGAATTGTTCCCTTTACACACCATATGGTCCTTCTTTGTAAGTGTGACGACCACATTTTGTAATTCAATTGTTGGAGACATTTTTGAATTTGTAATGCATGCATCAGACTTGTCTTCGCTTTCTTTTATATTCAGTATTTGTTTACTACAACTTTCTTTTTTTTTTCACACGGTTTGTTGTTATTTGATATGTTTCCTAAACAATTATGAAATGATAAATTATGACGCCATTTTAGAACAAGAAGATGAAGAGGCCAACACCGGCTCACACCTGAAGCTCATTGTAGATGCTTTCATCCAGCAGCTTCCCAACTGCGTGAACAGAGACCTCATTGATAAGGTGACATATATTGTCAAGCCATTTCTGCCATTTTGTTGCCTCACATTTTGTATGTTATTAAAAACAGTGTAACACTTTTGATATAGGCTGCAATGGACTTTTGTATGAACATGAACACCAAGGCTAACAGGAGGAAATTGGTTAGGGCTTTATTTACAGTCCCTCGGCAAAGGTATGCAGTATTTGTTTTCCAAAAATACTATAGTTATGTTTTGTAGCTGAAACAACAAACTATTTATTTCAGACTTGATTTGCTACCATTTTATTCTCGCTTGGTAGCCACTCTTCATCCTTGTATGTCGGATGTGGCTGAGGACCTTTGTTCCATGCTAAAGGGGGACTTCAGATTTCATGTAAGACATTAATATTTACATAAGTGATGCTCATATTAATTTAAGTTGTTTGTGTTATTATTATATACATCTTTGTGTTTAGCTTCGTAAGAAGGACCAGATAAATATTGAAACCAAAAACAAAACGGTCAGATTCATTGGGGAACTGGCCAAGTTCAAGATGTTTTCTAAAACTGATACACTTCATTGTCTTAAGGTGGGTATCCCATTGGGTTGGTCTTAATGAATGTATATCTGTATTTAATACATTTGTGCAATTAGATGTTGCTTTCAGATTTCACTCACCACCACATTGAAATGGCATGTACACTGCTCGAGACCTGTGGAAGATTCCTCTTTAGGTCACCTGACTCTCATCTGCGCACTAGTGTCCTTCTGGTTTGTACCTTCAATTACCTTTTATAATTATTATTAGCCTACATGTCAAATGTATACTTAATGTGACAGTATGTAATATTTTATTTTATTTGAAATCTACAAAAATATTTGATCATAATTTTCAAGCAGGTTTATTCTATTATATTTTCCTGCAAAAGACCAAGACAAAAAGATTATGTTCTTATTATAAGGCATTTAAAAAGGTTGAGAACTGGGGCTTTAATTCAGCCATCATTTAGCTAAGTGCAAAGGATTGCCTCCGGAATTGGAAGCAGGGGACACAATTTTTTATCTAAATATTTCCCATTAGGGGTCTGACGATATATCGATTTTTCAATATATATCGCGATACTTTCTCCCGCGATTCGATTATTGATATGCATTTGCCAAGTATCGATATCGATTTTGAAAGAAAGAAAAAATATATGATGTGTTTTATTTTTTTACATCGTATTGTATCGTGAGGTACCCTTAGGTTCCCACACCTATTTACCATTGTTCCCTAACTATAAATGAGGCCAGTGTTATAGATACTTTGAAAACCTATTTCCGTAATTCCAGAACACTCAATACTTCACATGTGTTTTGTAAAAAAAAAAATGATGTGGTCATACTATATTCTTAATACTTCTGAATATTACAGTTTGAAATGGCCTAATCATATTCAAAGGAAGAGTTCTATGCATTGTTTATTTAGCACTATTATTATTGGGCATTAGAAAAGGATCAAATACACAGATTTGTCCTCAAGTGAAGTTTTCATGGTTTTGTGTGGAGCCTAAATTTCATTATCATTATCTACATTGTATTCCTAGAACCACTTACTTTTCATATAACGTGGTAACAGAATTCTGAATAAAGTTACTGAAGATATTTAGTATTTTGAATTTTTTTGGTACATGTATTTTAGTTCCCCCCAGTCAATGGATAATACATTAATATTTATTCACCTTTTTTTTTTTCTTTTTTTTTTTTAGGAACAAATGATGCGCAAAAAGCAAGCTCAGCACTTGGATTCCCGTTATGTAACAATGGTGGAAAATGCTTACTATTACTGTAATCCCCCTCCAATTGAGAAAGCAGTAAAGAAAAAGAGACCTCCGCTGCAGGAATACATCCGCAAATTACTTTACAAAGATTTATCCAAAGTCACGACTGAGAAGGTTTTAAGGCAGATGCGAAAGTTGCCCTGGCAAGACCCGGAGATCAAAAGCTACCTGATCTGCTGCATGGTCAACATTTGGAATGTCAAATATAACAGTATCCACTGTGTGGCCAATCTACTGGCTGGACTGGTGGCTTACCAAGAAGATGTGGGTATTCATGTGGTAGATGGAGTCCTTGAGGACATTCGACTGGGAATGGAGGTAAAAGACAATTGCACTTACTCACCTCAAACCCAAATCACTAAATCGATAAATTATTTTTTATTACAGGTCAATCAACCAAAATTCAACCAACGTCGCATAAGCAGTGCCAAGTTTCTTGGTGAACTCTATAACTATCGTATGGTGGAGTCTGCTGTAATTTTTCGAACACTGTTTTCCTTTATATGCTTTGGAGTAAATCAAGATGGTGCCTCTAGTCCATTGGACCCTCCAGAACACCTGTTCCGTATCCGCCTGGTTTGTACGTTGCTTGACACTTGTGGTCAATACTTTGATCGAGGCTCCAGCAAAAAGAAGTTGGACTGTTTCCTCATATATTTTCAGGTAAGCTAAAGGATTTATCTGTGGTTGACTATAGAATTTCTATCACAGCAACCCAGAGGTCTCCTTGTTCCCAACATCTGCATGTGTCAGCATGCAACGCATTTCTTTTACTTGGAAAGAAAGTGAAACATATTTTAGATATTTCTAGACTGAACTAAACTAAATAAACTGGAACCTCATTGCCTACAATAGTTTAAATTATTTTCATGAATGAAATCAAAGCTCCGAGCAGCGGTCGCTGCTGTCAGAAACGTAAAACTCAGTTCCAAATTGACTAGGTCATGCTTACCAAAAATGTCAAAAAAATAAGGAGGGCGAAAAGAGGCCCAAACATGGCACCATTATATTACAAAAACATTTAATTACATAGTACAGCAGTACATGTATTTCCAAAGTTTATGGCCCCATTATGTTCTATGTTATACAATCTACTATTCATGTTGGCCAATTTGTATGCAGTTGCATTATAACTCCACTAGAGTTTGCTAGTGCTGGTATTAAGATTAAGAATTTAATCTCTAACTTTACCATTATAAAGAAGCAGTAAAAACATTCTAGCTTTAGCATAATAATGAAGCAAGTATAAAATACTATTTTCTAGTGCAATAAAAATACAGCTGTATGTTTATATCTATATACCCTCAAGCTGCTAAGTAGAGTAACAGTGGACAATGACATATATGATTCTATAATGCACATTCTGACATTACTATCTGCTGCACTGTGTCATATCTTATCAAAGTCACTACAAAGTTCTGCATGACTACAATCATTATGAAAATGTGTTCTTTTTTGAAGAGGTACATTTGGTGGAAGAAGAGTGTGGATATTTGGAACAAAGACCACCCGTTTCCTATCGACATAGACTACATGATCACTGATACTCTGGAACTGCTGCGCCCCAAAATGACACTCTGTGGCTCCCTGGAAGAGGCCAGTAAGCAGGTTACTGACCTGGAAAGAGAGGTGCTGGTCAAACTAGGTAAAACCACTGCAATCATCTTTATCTGGTTTTTATTGACTGTCTGAGATGTAACTGTTTAGTTTATGGAGTAAGTCTGATCGGACCTGTTTTGCCGCATTCTTTTTTGTGTAAGTGTTGCTTTACGCGTCTGTCAGGAGCAGTCAGGCAGGTTAATCTTTCATACATTCCTCCCAGATGGGCTCATAACAACCTAAATGAGAATCTTGTGTTTCTCTAAGGTCTGGCATGGTTCTGGCTGTACTATATTTGTGTTGATAATGGTTGACCTTTTTATACAATTTAAAGTGGAGGGGTTTTACCATTTATTACGTAAATAGAAATTATGTATCAAGTTGTAAAATGTATCAAAGATGAATCAATTGTTACTCCAAATAATTTGTAGTTGCCCTAATTCCTACCAGCACAGATTATCATTTGTGATATTGTCAGATCAAACTTCAAATCATGTTTTCCTATTAAGCAAGTAAGAAAGTTAGCGCTGCTTACCTGTTTTGGTGGTCAGACTTCAGCCTCTGTGATGTGTCATGTTGTCATAGGATGTGTTCACAGTAAAGCGTCAATTAAAGTATCTGGACTTGAAAAGGTTATCACTCAAAAACTAAAATTATTATCATAAATTAGAAAAATGATTCCAAACACAGACATATCATAGAGAAAGTGTGGATGCAATCAAAATAAATAAAAAATTGAGTAATATATTTTGGGCAACATTTTAATTGAGCCTCTGATTTGATCATTCTACTGTGACACCAATTACATAGAAAATAAAAGGTTATCAGTCTGAAAGAGCAGCAGATGAACTCCCACAAGATTAATATGGCTAACGCAACATCAGGAAATCTTGACTTAAAACGGGAATCTCTTTTTATTTATTTTTTATCAATCAATAAAAAATTTAATTACTCTTAAATGCTGAACTGACGTGATGGTTTCCGGCAATTATTTTCTAAAAATTTAACTTGGGGGGAAAAAGATGGTCTGGTGGTTTCACTTTTAATTTGTTTACTATATGAAATTATTTACTTACTGTATCTAAAAAAAAAAAATTAAACAAAAATTTCTTTATCAAAAGTGGACATCTGAAAATACGTAACTTCCTCAGCTCTTTTTCTCAAAACCATCACGTCCGTTACACAAAAAACAGAGCCGCTATAGGAAACTATAGCGTATAACTATAACTAACTACTAAAATACAGAGGCGGTATTTGGATACATGAAAAACGTAATGTGTTCTGATTATTATTATTCAATTTTCTGCCTTTTGTCACACTTTTGTACCCTTTAGTGTGAACAAACCCATTTCTTCTGTGATCCACGGTAAAGTCTCCCTCGTCTATGGGGATGATCCGTGTCCCCCCCCTCCAACATAACGCATGTTGGCTTGTTTAGATTAATGAGAAAAACATGATAGTTTAAGGTTAAACTCATTTGTAATCCTTTCAATTTAGAAGACAAGTCCCTACATTTTTTGGCCTGACCATTTTCACAGTCTGCTGTTATTTAGTATAAAGAATTTATAATCGCCTCAACTGATATGAAGTGTTCAAGCATTGGATCTCAGTTATGGTTTTGTGCCATTACATTATAGTTTAAAACATTTGATTTTTATATTTAATAAACACTTAATCTGTTTCTTTGAGGTATGGCCATGGAGAAGGATGGTCGCTCGAGCGCCATGAGTGAATCTGAAGCTCTTGATGAGGAGGATGATGATGACGATGAAGAGGGTGGTGCTGAGACTGAGGAGCAGTCTGGCAACGAAAGTGAAATTAATGAACAAGAAGAAGATGTGAGTTTTTTTTTTTTTTTTTAAACTCGCTATCACCTGTTAAAATTCTTCTTGTCACACATTTTGTCCAATTATCTTAACCTATTGTAATCTTCTGAATATAGGATGTTTCAGACAATGATGAAGAAGAACATGAAGAGGAGGATGAGGAGAACACTGACTACCAAACAGATTCCAACAAAGAAAATGAGACCGATGAAGAGAACAATGTATATAACTTTTTTAAATGTTGTTTCATTTAGAAGTTTATTTATTTCCTTTCTGATTGAACTAATGTGGCTGTTTGTAGGAGGTGACTATCCGTGGTGGAGGACTAAAGCATGTGGCCTGCGCTGAAGACGAGGACTTTATACAGGCTCTGGATAAGATGATGCTGGAAAACCTTCAAGTATGACCCAAGCTGTGAATGTGAACCCATTACACCCTTTTCAATGTTGCTTTAATTTTGTCTTCTGTTATTGCAGCAGCGTAGTGGTGACGCAGTGAAGGTGCACCAGTTGGATGTGGCCATTCCCCTGCAGTTGAAGAGCCAGTTGAAAAAGGGTGTTGCTGGGGCCCCGTGTATCGAAGAAGGAGATGGGGAAATATCTGACACTATGCAATTTGTCATGCTCACACGCAAAGGCAACAAGCAGCAGGTAATCGTTTCCCCTTCTTCACATGTGCATGGTGGAGAATATGTCATTATTGTTTATTGGGGATCCCCATTAGCTTGCACCAAAGTGGTTGCTAATCTTCCTGGGGTCCCAGTTAAGACAAAAAAAATACAAAACAAAAATACATTCATTAATACAGTACATTATTCAATACAATACATTAATTCACTACCATAATGTTAAAAGCATTGGATCAAATAGATCAATTGCCAAGTCAACATCCCTAAACGACACAAGGCATCAAGTCATGAAGCCATGCATTATAATAATGCATTGCACATTTGATATTTGAGTTTTCTTTTAAAAATATGTAGAGAAGTTTGATCTCTCATCTCCCTAGGAAGCTCATTCCAAAGTTGAGCCGCTCGGAAAATAAGTCTGTTTCAATGATTTTGTTCTGGGCCGATTGACGACCAAGTCAGCATTTTGAGCTTGCCTAGTAGAATGGGAGTGAATCTGATGTTACATATGTGATTTTTTTCAAACATTGAAATTGGTTCACCAGTCAGTATTACTTTTTTCAGAAATATTAAAAGGATATACTGTAGCTTATTGTGAACCAAAGGCCAGGATAAAACTTTATGCATTTTGTTTAAACAAACAAAACAATTTAAAGCCTCGTTCTGTACAACTTGCAATCTAGATATATCTGTGTTGCATGCAGCAGACCATATAATGGAGCAGTATTCAAGATTAGATAAAACGAGGGATTGGACCACCTGCTTCAAAATTGGTGTAGGTACAAAATAAGAACACCTTCTCACCACACCAATAGCGCTACCTATCTTACTAATCACATGGTCAATGTGCGGTGACCATGAGAGATGGTGATCCACTATAACACCTAAAAGTTTAATTTGCTCAACCTGTTCTAATTCGGCTCCCTCCATAGTCAACTTTAATTGACACTTTTCATGTAGACGTTGTTTACTTCCAACAAGCATAGATCTTGTTTTAGAAATATTTAAAATCATGTTGTTGATTTTAACCCACTTGAGGACCTCGGCCAAATCATCTTTTAATACATTTGATATTTCATTCACATTTGAATTGGAATAATACATGGTCGAGTCGTCAGCATACATGACAACTTCAGTTTGGTTTAGTACATAAGGTAAATCATTTGTGTAAACAGAGAAGAGGAGTGGGCCAAAAATATCTGTTCCAAAACTTCCTTCTCTGAATCTTGAGTTGTTACTTCCTCAAAGAACTTGTGATTTGTAACTTAGTGTCTGATGTTAAACTTTGCAGAAAAACTTAGATAGATAATTTCAAAGAATTGCCAACATTTTGAAATCAAGCAAATATAAATGATTGTCCTAAAAACAGCAGAACAAAATCTGTATACGTTCTTTTACATATGTAATATTCTGGCATTATCCACCTAACTTCAAAACCCTGGCATGTGTTTTCATGCTTTCGAGCCACTTGAGGCTGGACTTTGTGGTTTTGAAGGCTAAACTGGCTCATGTTCCCTTGGGCGTCTCCTGTTTTTAGGTTTGGTGTAATGTAAAGTCTTTATAGAGTTTATGTCTAAAATGACCGATGAGCAAAGACAGTCATAGATCTTTCATAAAGACGAATCAAAACTCCTTTTACAACTAAGGACCACTTTGCCTCAATGACTTTCTAAAACAAATGTGCTTGGATGTACTTGATCTTTACCAATTGATCTTTCAGTTCCAATTCCAATGTCAGATCTTTGAACATGGCAATAAATTCAGTTCAATAATAATACTAATTTACTCAATATTTTGCAAATATTAATAATATAAGAGCTTTGATATTTCATATAAATATTGGTATTGTCTTTGCAAATTATATTATGTGGACTATTTTAACAAAATGTATGTTTTTTTTTTTCAACAGTACAAGATTCTAAATGTGCCGCTGTCATCGCATCTGGCAGCAAACCACTTTAATCAGCAGCAGGCAGAACAAGAGGAGCGCATGAGAATGAAGAAACTCACCTTGGACATTAATGAACGACAGGAGCAGGAGGACTACCAGGGTAGTCAAGGTTTTACATTCCACTTTTCAAAGATCATTGTAAACAAAATCACTGGGACATAACTGGGACTTTATAGTTGTTTAAACATCTAGCTGCAGTGTTTTGTACATTTGCAGATAAAGCAAGGAACTGCTTGTAAATGCTCATTTGCTGTGTATATTTTTGTAAAATGTTTCTGCGTATGTTTGTCACAGAAATGATGCAGTCCTTGGCTCAGCGTCCAGCCCAAGCGAACACCAACAGAGAGCGCAGGCCTCGTTATCAGCACCCAAAAGGGGCACCTAATGCAGACCTCATCTTCAAAACCGGTGGAAGGTGAGATTCCTGTCGTCATGGTCGAAAGCAGATGTGACAGAGCTGTTTAGTGTGTAAAATGATACATCCTTTTATCTTTCACCCGTTTCAAGTCAGTTTAGTTTTTACCGGAATTATTGCCATTGACTCAATGCCATAATATGTGATTCTCCTGAAATACTTACTGCATTCTACAAAGATGGAAGTTTTATTTCAGACTGTGAAAACCACCACGAGGCCTACTTCTCGGCTCCCACTTTGCCTGAAGCCCCCACTGAAAGATCAAGGCTGCGTCGTCACTGACAGAGCTGCCATCCTCCTGTGGACTCACCACCTGCAGGAGGATCAGTGAGGGGCTGGTGCTCTGAGGGGTAGAAAATGGATCGATGGAGGAAAAATTTGTTTATAAAATAATTTATTAATATAGCATAATTTCTTTTGATTAGTTGTTTAGAGTGGCATTGATATTTGTTAATAACTTTGACCCGGATAAAAGCTGGTTTATAATTGCAAATGAGACATTTACTCTTAAATTGATAGATTGTTACACCGCTACAAGAGTTTTAACTCGGACCAGGAATAAATAAAGGGGGAAAAAAGAAAATTCTCATGATTTTTTTATTTATTTAAAGGATAGTTTTTTTTTTTAAATATATATAATTTTAAAGAGTATTATTATTTTATTTATTTACGTTTCACTACGTGTTAATTTAGCCTATCAATGATTGATGTTTTGAAATGGGCGTTTGGTGTGCCCAGTTTGAAAAATGCATATCATATAATTATATTGCATGAAAAAAAAGATCTACAACTCAGTGACTTTTTTTTTTTTTTTTTTACTGGATCTTTTTTATTAGTAGTCAGTATGTACAGTGCATGTAAACATTTTCCATACATATAACATTGTGTATTGTTATATGGCATCCTCTTTTTGAACAGAGCCAAAATGTTAAGGAAGGAAAAGAAAGAGAGGCAAGAAGGACTGACGAGGAAAGACAGACAAGTCAAGCAGCAGAGAAACCATACTTTTGTCTTGGACTAGTCCAGGGCTTGTGCAGGCTCCTGAAGAAGTAAAATTAAATAAATAAATGAAACCGTATACAGTAACTTAAGTTGTATCCTTTCTTTGTGTTATTGTCAGAGTATTAGCATTCCATTCAGTTTGAAAGGAGTAGCCAGTTGGAGGAGATTGTCCGAGTGCTTTTTATATTCAGTTATGGTACATTTTCAGATTCCTTATATCCTATACCTTTTAATGGAAAATTATTAGTTTGAGTGTGCAAAATGCTACAGTAAATGTCTTTCTCTGTCTTTCAGGAGACGTTGACCTGGGTCTGGGAACAGGCTGATCAAAAAAGCAAGAAGGAAAAGGTAAAGGAGCAAGATCGGAATGAACCGGTCGGCATGAAACTGGTCTTCTGGCCATCCGCTGAATCGGGAGAAGGTCTTAATTCTTTGGAGCCTGAAGATGAAGAACAAAGGAAGACTGCCGGCCTGGGGTTCAGAAGTTGGACACAGGTGGCAGGTGTCTTCTTTGTCTTTGAGAGAAGTGGGGTGTGAAACAACGGTAGCATACGCATGTTGTATGTTTAATATCGAGTGGCCACCAACAAGATGGACAAGATCCCCATCTGTCCCTGACTCGAAGTATGAAACGTCCTTTTTCTTGGACGTAGATGAGATCAGTGTGTCACTGAAGAACACTGGTGCAGCTAGATGAATCAGAAGTTTTTTTAATAACCAAGTAATAAATAATAAGTCCTAAGGTGTTTGGCATAGAGAGGAAGCATTTACCTTGGTGCGTGATAAACTGTTCGCCCATTATGAAAATGGAAATAGTCCCCATGGAGTGAATTATATTGTGTGACACTTCCATACAAAGATTTGCATAATTTGGTTACTATCAAATGTAAGACATGAGAAAAAAAACATTATTATTTTATGTGCCATATAAAGCAAATCCATCAAGTCACATTTATCAATAACGCTTTACCTGTTTGATTGACTTTGAGCAGCTGAATACTTTCAGTAAAGCACTGGTGCTGCAACTAATTAGTAGTTACAGATAATGTATGTAAATCATTAAGTAAATCTCACATTTTAGTTTACACATTTGGCTGCATGGACCTTTGTGAACTGTATCTGAGTGTTGTTTTACATCCATGGGGAAACGTTTTTGGAGCTGCTACTTTCACATCTTGAAATGAAAAAAAAAACATACTTTTCCTAGTGCAGCATTTTTTGGACACAATCTTGATGTCAGAAGAAAGCTACAGCATAATGAAACATCAGTTTAATTGTATTTTTATATGATGCAGTTACAAATACAGAATCATTTCAAATAAAGAATTTCCAATCACTTGTATTGTTCCATTTCATAATTATTGCAATTACCCAATACATGTGGATTTATGTAGTAAATTCAACCCAAGTCCCATCACATGCAAATGCCCAAAATAACTTTTCTACATCAATTTGTAAGTAGATACAAATTGAAACTTCAAAATGCCTGTAGATAAACTACAGAAAACTGGAGTCTGTAAACAAACTAGTTCATTCATTCACTCAGTTGTGTGCTGACAAGCTGCATCACCTCCATGTGAAATTAACTTCAAAAAAACTGTAGATAAACTACATTAACCGGAGTCGTAATACATTGTAAACATTCACTTTGGAAAACACATAAGTTCAACAGACAGTAAAAAGAAGGTAGATAACAACAAATGCACTGGAGTACTCAAGATACTGTGAATTTAGTGCTTCTATTTTGTACAATGCCCATCTCAAAGAGCAGCTCTAAAGTCTTCCCTCTGCATAGTAAAAATACAACTAGCTATTCCGCAGTCTGTGGTTTGTTCTTGCATAAAAATATCCTCCTTCAACAAAGAAAAGTACTTTTCTTGTTTCTGGGCTCCTTTATAAAAAGTGCATTTTGTCACAGTGAGCCTCTTACCTCTAGTATTAACCATGTTGGGAAACAGACGTGCTAACAAAATATTTCATGATTATAAATATCTTGCAACATTTGGCACACACAGGCCAGTCACCAATCTTAAAATATATATTTTGCCTCGAGATTAAATACATTAGATGCCCTCTCACAAAAAAATAGCCATGAGAACATAAATATAATTTAGATATACAACTATACAAGTAGGCATAGGGCAACAGCAGCATTTGTAATAACATAATTCCTTTGTATTAACTGTTTGGATTTGTTAATACCGTGTCTACTGTAGGACAAAAAATGTGCAGCTCTGTCATTGCGTCAAAACGAGCTGTGCAAGTCCATCTGATTAGTCTTCATTCCTCTCTAAAAAAAGGTCTTTCCTGCCACACCTCACATACATTTTTCCTCTGAAGATTAGCACCGGAGAGGCTGGTTTGGTTAGTGTAGACAATTAAAAGCTGAATCAGTCTCTTAAAAGCCCAAGTTTCCTCAACGCTTCTCTCCGTGATTCCTCGGCCCCTCCTTTACCTGAAAACTGCACTGTGATTCCTTGGGATCTGAATAATGAGCCAGTTCTCCGTTTATGCTCAGGAGACAAAGCCCTCTGAGGGGACTTCAGGGGTGTTGTGGGCCCATGATGGGAGTGGCGTGGAGGTCTTGGTGCTGGAGTTGGGGCTGGTGGCTTTATGGTTCTGGAGGAACCTTCAGATGTGCGACCAGCGCCGGTTGAAGGATTGATAATTTTTCCCCTGTAGAAGTTTGATTCTTTGGAAGCATTTTCAGAGGGTAGTGTTTGGCTCTTGTTTATGTGTGAGCTAAGGATGTCTGGGAGGTCCCTTCTTGCAACAGGCACAGGAATGGGAGTCATAACTATTGATTTTCCCCCGTAAATGTTGAACTCACTTGGGGTTGCCTGAACAGGTGAATGACTTCCGGGGTCGGAGCTTACAGGAGAAGGCGGTAAATCACTTTTAAAGGAAGCAGAAGGCATGATCACTATAGACTTCCCTCCATAACTGTTAAACTCTGGTAAGATATCCACAGGTGGAGGAGGTGGGGGGAAATGTTCATTTTGAGAGTTATCTGGTGGTTGTGAGTTTTTGGTTTCAAAGCTTTTGGGTGAATCTGGTACATCTGGTGTCCTGTAGATCACTCGTGAGCTCAGACTGGTTTCTGGGAGCTTGGTGTTTTTGGATTCACTCACAAGACTGCTTCGCTCCTGTTGCTTGTTGCTTGGTGGGGGACTTTGTTGCTGAACATAAGTTTGTGTTACTACATTTGGCGGATGGTTAGATGGTTCAGGAACATTTGTAGTGTCTGCCTCTCCACCGACAAGAGATTCGGTGGTAGGAAGAGACACACCCCCTGATCCAGCACGGTTTCTCGACAAACCTAATTTAGACAAGGCCTCCATGCGAGACTTTTCAGGAGTAGGATCTCTGAAAGAAACACTACGAGTTGGGGTGTTTCTTGTTTCATCTTGTTGCGAATTATCCTGGAGTAAAATATTTGACGTCCCAGAAAGGTTTGCTAACATTAGTTTCTTTCTCTCCTCAACGTTAATGTTTGCCAGTGATGTATTCTGCTGCTCTCTGTTTCCATGAACCACAATGATATTGGCTGGATAGCGTGCAGGTTTGGTAGAGGTGGGAGGACCTTGCTTGTTTGAGTTAGTTGATTTGTCAAACTCAGAGCTTCGCCGTCTAAGGAGGGATGATGCACTCAGCGCTGTGCTACCACCACTTTGGTTTTCTGCAATCTTCTGAGCAATCAGAGCTGGAGTTGGGATGCTGCCTGGAGGGTGATACACTGAGTGACTATCTGTAAGTGAAGAGCTGAATTCTGTCAAGGGTGAGGGATCTCCAGGATCGCTGCGAGGTTTCACATCAAAGTGGCTCTCTGGATGTTGAATCAAACTTTGGAAATCTGCAAGAAATATATGTAACAATTATAATTCAACAAATTGTGTTCAAGGACCACTGTATTTTACAATAAAGCTACCTGGACTGTATGGGGTGAAGGATGTGTCTCTGGTCTGCAGCAGGTCTGGTTTAGGGCGAACAAGGTCGATAATGTCCTGCTCCTTTACGTTGACATGACTATGGGACCCCCCATCTTTATCTACTGGATTGTTGAACCACTTGACTTGTGGCCTCAACTCCTCCTCATTCAGACCTTTCTCTAGGGAGTCTATGGTTTGCTCAAAAAAGTTGAGGGTTTCCTGTACATCTTGGCTTAAGCTCTTTGGCTCATCCCCCTGTGAAAAACAAGTACAACATGGTTATTTCATACAAAGATTCTGTATTCTCAATAATGTTGGCGGTAGTAGTTGAGCAATACAGGTCAGAAATTAAGATTCACTAGGGTAGGATATTTTGCCACCATATGTTATCTTCACCATTATGTCAACAAAAGTAACAAAAGGCACTCTTTAGTGTTTAACGTTTCCCTTTTTATAATTACTTTTAATTCACCATGGTTTCTCTCAAAGGGACTTTAACCCTGAAGCTTCTTCTCAAAGGGACTTTAACCCCGAGACTTTCTCAAAGGGACTTTAACCCCGAGGCTCAAAGGGACTTTAACCCCGAGACTTTCTCAAAGGGACTTTAACCCCGAGGCTCAAAGGGACTTTAACCCCGAGACTTTCTCAAAGGGACTTTAACCCCGAGGCTCAAAGGGACTTTAACCCCGAGACTTCTTCAAAATACAATTTAGAGAGTTTGACAGACCCCAAAAAACACACCAAAATTTAGCTAATATCCAATTATGCAGACTTTACATATTAAAAAAGGTGTCTGCTTACCTTATTCTTGTCAAACCGGTTCCAAGGACTGTCCGAGAGGTCTGCCAACCTCTTTTCCGCGTCGGAATATTCAATTTAAAAAACAAAAGTGACAGAAGCGACAAGAAGCATCCAGGAACAGCTCTTCCAGCCTGCTGGAATCCCCGCTCCCAGACACAGCATGCCGATCTCTCACGCAGAGGAAAAGAAACAGAGCAAGCTCCCTCAAAACAATCCAGAGAATGGCACACACTGAGCCGCGCATTCTCCACCAAATCTGTTAGGATTTAAGCAGACAGAGACGGATCGTGGTGTGCCAAACTCTGGAAGTTTATTTAAGTTGCTCTCAAGTTCCACTGGTTTACTCTGTTTCTTTTCCTCAGACAGAATAAAGGCAGTACACAGTTTATATAGTCATTGTCACGTCACACATCGAAAGACATACGTGTCACAAAGAGACAGTCAAATCATAGTCATAACATGGAGTCCTTGTAGAGTCCTTGTACAGTCCTGCACGTAGGCCATATTGCTATCTAATACTAATACCGTCTTATTTTACATGATCAGCATCAACTTAGAAGTGTTGAGTTGGAGGATTCATATTCAGAATCGCAGTTTGTCTCCCTCTAGTGTGGAACAATGGGACATAAAAGATGGAGCTTCTTGGTTACACAAAACGATTTCAAATTTAGGCTACATTTCTGCTTAGCAGATGTGCCAAAACTATCTCTAAATCATCCAACATTGCACAAACATTACAGAACAGATAAACAAATACAAAAGAGGCTGTGCAAACAAGTCTTTCGAATCTAATTTAATTTGACACAACTCAGGATTTTTCAATGATTAAAAGGAACAGCAAGTAGTTTGGAGTCAATACCACAGTTCAGTCCTATATGCTTCTATTACATTGTGTGTAGATCTGATTATTCTCATCCCAAGAGGGTTTAACTTTGGCTACGTGGCAAATGGACGATACATATATGATATTATTGATATTTTTTTTCAAATCTCACCCATTAAAGAACAATACAAAGTTAAGGCAGATTCAGAAAGGCAGGCCATTATAAGATAAAACAATTTTGGATTAAAGTGATGCTAATATTGAGCTTTTGGTTTGTTAGAGTTTGGACTTGAGACTCGGGCCCGAGTACAGATGGTGTTGTAGATAGTCCAAGATCTTCTTCCACGAGTCCTCCTGTGCATCTGAATGAGATTTGGTTTGACCTCCCCACACAAACATTACTACGAAGAAACACACATCAATCAATTTACTCTATGCATTGTGTATTTAATTTAAGCTGGAGTACCAAACTTTTTTGTGTCATATACATTTTGATTGTCCCAGAAAGAAACTTGTTTAAAGATGCATTATGCTTTTTTATGTGCTTTTGTTGATGATATTTTTTCATATATGACCTTTTTAGTGCGCGTCGACTGGGTCATCGAGGTCTCTGCCTTCAACCGCCGCCCAGTCCTCTCGACACCGAGGCCTCATGGATCCATCTGTGGGTGGTGGGCTCTGGACAGTGCACCAGGGACCCCCCCCCCCCCCCCCCCCCCCCCCCCCGATGTTAATGGGCTTTAAGCCAGTCAGACCTTGTAGACCCAAGTGTATATAGAGGGTCTCGGTGAGCCCCCTGTCAGACGGACTTTCAACTCACATCTTCGGCAGAGCTTCTCCCTGGTCTCGGAGTAGGAGGGAGACATCGAGTCTGAGTGGACCATGTTCTCCACCTCTATTGCCGATGCGGTGGCTCATAGCTGTAGTAGTCGCAACGTTTCTGGTGCTGGTCCTGGCTGCAACCCCCGAACCAGGTGTTGGACACCGGTAGTAAGGGATGCCGTCAGGCTGAAGAAGGAGTCATGATGGTTTATGGGACTCCTGAGGCAGCTGTCCAGTACCGGCTGGCCAAGCGTGCCACTGCCCGGGCTGTAGCAGAGGCAAAAACCTGGGACTGGGAAGAGATCGGAGAGTCCATGGAGCATGACTATCGGTCAGCATTGAAGAGATTCTGGCAAATTGTTCACCGCCTCAGGAGGGGGAAGCGGTGCTTTGTCAATGTGCCAACTGGGGATATAGTTGGGTGGTGGGAGGAGTACTTTGAGGTTGTCCTCAATCCCTTTGTCACGTCCTCCATCCCGGAGGCAGAGGCTGAGGATTTTGGGGCGGATAGTCACCCTAGCTGAAGTCACCAAGGCGGTTGGCAGCCTCCTTCGTGGCAAGGCTATGGGAGTGGATCAGGTCCATCTTGACAATCTGAAGTCTCTAGATCACTGATCAACTCCGGCCCGCCAAGCCGTTAGACCTGTCCCGCGGCAAAAATTGTGAGGATCCAAAAATAATTTTATTCCAATGCGGTTATATATTACATATTTTCACTTTGGGGGTCCTGGCTCAGTTGGTAGAGCATTGGCCTTTGGGCCTAAAGGTCATGGGTTCGACCCCACCACAAGACATACTTCACAACTCCCACTAATGTCGGCTGTCGTTGTATACTTGGGCAAGACACACAAATAAAGGATTGATTGATTGATTATCCCCACTTTGCCTGAAGCCCCCTGCTGACAGATCAAGGCTCCTGTGGACTCACCACCTGCAGGAGGATCAGTGAGGGCTGGTTCTCTGTGTACTGGGTGTAGCTTTGAGTACCAACCCCCCGACCCAGAAATGGATTAACAGGAGACTGTCTGGTAAAACTCTGGCGCTCTGAGAAATATAGTTGATGACCCCTGTCCTAGATGTTGTAGGACTGTCTTGGCTGACACGTCTCTACAGCATCGCATGGCGATCGGGGTGATTGTCCCTCTCTACAAGAAGGGGGACCGGAGGGTGTGTTCCTATTCTCGTGGGATCACACTCCTCAGCCTTCTCAGGTCTACTCCAAGGTACTGGAGAGGAGACTTCAACTGGTGGTCAAAATCAAAACAAGGTCACTAGAGGATCAATAACAAAACAAGAACAAACATTGCATTAAAAGTTGCATAATGCACATTATGCACATTTTATGAACCGATAAAAATTTTGAAGAAAAAATTTCATCTTTTAGACACTGGGACCTGATTGGCTGTTAAACCAAACAGTTTTGAGAGATCAGAACGAGTTACATGTTTGGTGGTACATGGTTTCAAAGTTTGGTTCTCCAGATTTAACAAAGTGAAGCCATAACACAACACACTTTTGTTTTTTTTTGTTCGCATGAAGGCTGTCACTCTGAAATGAGGTGAAAAGGGAACTTCAATGAGATGTCCAGCTCCAGGATAATTCAATCGGGTCAGCAGGTGGCCTTTCCCTGCAGCACATACAATCTTTTCAATCTGGGGGTTAAAAAAGAAAATGAGTTGTAAAGGCCGGTTCAATAAGATTTACAAGACTATATGTAGCTGAGAGAGACGCATGCGGAAATGCCTTCTGAGCATGAGTCTAAGTCTGGTAGTGAGTACAACAATGCATAAGAAATGGATAATAAGAGAAGTTGTTCGAGCGATTCAAGTGTTGGTCCTATACATTTCCTGCTTGTTGGAACGTTACTGTATTATTATTATGGGGAGGCACATTTAGCAGAGACTGCAGCAGAGGCTGAAAGTCATGTTGTTGTGCAACAGGACTTCCAGCATCAAACATAACTCTGAACTTCCCAAACATCCACCCCAACCCCTTGAAGCACTGTTCCCACCGCTTTGATTTCCGCACTGATTCAACGCACTGTTGCTTGAATATTTTGTATAGGAGCATGGTGTTTTTTGGGGCCAGGGAGGTAGTCTGACATGTCTGCCAACTTAAATGTAAAAAGTTTGTGTAAGCCCTCAGTCGTACAGGGATTAGTCAAAGCAAAGGAAGGTTTCTCACCCATCATCTGTACTTCTTACCAAGTTTTCCCGACGTTTCGTCCTCAAACCAGCGGACTTCTTCAGGGAATGAATTCTCAGGCCGCGCGTTGGAGATTTATAACCTATGGGTGTGGTAAGCCACACCCTAAACCTGATACTAACTCATAAACAATCTAAGGTCTGTTTGATGTAGAAGGGAGCAGATCTAACGACCCTGCTGAGGCTAACGATCCTAACTCCTTAGCATGTCACAGACCTATTGTCTGCTGGGATGCTCAAGTGGAGTGCAGGTTTCACCCCTCCTAACTCATTAGCATGTCACTGACCTTGTCCCAAGTTAGGGCGTTGTTTTTAGGATGTCGTCACAGATGCGAGGCAAAACAAATCTTAACCCTCCTCCTCTGTTAAGAGAAGGTTTTTGTTTCCTCACAAAAATGGCTTCTTTCACCCCTCTCTCAAACCAATTCTTCTCCCGAGCCAGAATTTTAACCTCGGTGTCATCCACTGTGTAGTCGGAGGCCTTGAGGTGGAAATGAACAGCCGACTGTGGCCCACTAGAGTTTTCTCTACGATGTTGGTAAAGTCGTTTCTGTAGAGTTTGTTTGGTTTCTCCAATATAGTGGTCAGTGCACTCCTCTTCACTA